CGATCGATGCTAGCTCGAATAAGCCTCTCATGATTCCGGGCTATGGTGTAGAGCTCGCCCTCAAAAGAACTGACTATATCGTTATTGATGACCGCAAAGATGATGAGGGAACAACTGAATCCAAGACCGAGGCCAAGGTCAAGTTTGAAGACGAGGAGGTAGCTGATCTCAAGCCCCTCTCCACATCAGAGCTTTCTTCACTGGGACTCAAAGCATCTAGTTTCATTATGCAGAGTGACAAGCCATTTGATTCCCTCATCAAGCTTTCACAAGACTTTCCAAAACATTCCAGTGCTATAGCTTCCCACAATGTCTCTTCCGAGTTCTTTGCGGAGCACAATTACAACCGCGGCAAATTGGTCCCCGCAGGGACCAACGTATGGTGGATGAACGGTGTGCAAATGATAGATCGTCAGATTGATGCTATAAATATCCTCGATATCTTACGAAAGGAGAGAAAACTGATCCATGGTGTTCGTGATCTTGGGTTGACAGGACCTGAAGCTGTCCAGTTACTTTCCCATTCTAGCATTTCCGAAGCTAAGAGTAATGGAGACGTTCAAAGGTTTGATTGGAGAGATGAGATTGAGGGAGGTAGTGTTATCATGTGGTTGAATGACATCGAAAAGGACAAACGCTACCAAGAATTTCCCGAGACTCTTGGCGCTTTACTGCAGAGAACATATCCTGGGCAGCTCCCCTCAGTCCGTAAGGAAATTTTCAACTTGGTTATACCAGTGGATTTCAGTACGAAAGAAGATATCGCACTCGTCGCTGAAACACTTGCAAGTTTCGTCAAAAGAAAATTAGTCCTCCATATTGGGCTTGTTCCAATCACCACTTCTCCAACCGCTGTAGAGCAAACAAGAGTCTTGTATCATCTTTTGGATGTTTATGGACTCTCTGGAGCTATTGCTTATCTTGAGGCTTCCGTTACAAATGGGGCAGCTAACCCAACTGAAAAGTCTTTCCAAGCCGCTATCGAGGGACGGGAGGTTCGAGCCGAGAAGATAGCAATTCCTCTTGTGGATTTACTGAAGTCAGATCATTACAACGATCAAATTGATGCTGCAGGCCGCTGGACCACAAGACTCTCTGCGAACGGCGACTTTCCACCAATCTTCGTAGATGGAGTCGCGCTCCCTAGAGACGAAAATTGGTTGCAAGCAATGGTCCAACGACTCACCGCAGACTTGCAAGTTATTCAGCAGGGAGTTTTCAACGAAATATTTACCCAAGAATCTTACATCCCAGACTTCTTCCTCTCCGAAGCAACGCCACGACGAAACTCCCTTATAGTTCCAGAAAGTGACAAGAATCTGAAGATAATTGATATTACCACTCTTTCGAAGCAGCATGGCGATCTTCTTTCCAAATTACCCAAGATTGGATCAGATTCGGCATCGCCTAAGGAAGATTGGGCTCACATGATTCTGGTAGCAGATTTATCATCTGCTTCTGGTTTAGAGCTTCTTTTATCCGCGGCTACATTCCGGGAATCTGTTCCAGCTCTTGAGATTGCCATCCTCCATAATTCTCCCGGTGAATCCGAAACATCAGATTTCAGCACCCATTTGTTCTCACATATCCAGAAGAAGTCAGACAAACCATTTGTGGACGCACAAGTTTTGTCTAGCTTAGTGAGCCCTGAAGGACCTGAATTGGATCTCACGACTCAAGATTCCGCAAGGGCTTTTTGGAAGGAAGCCGGTCCATTGGTCCGAGCTGCAGCCCTGTCACCAGGTGAAAATGGCATCTTGCTTAATGGACGGCTTGTTGGGCCAATACCTGCTGGTTCCGAACTTAACCAAGAAGACCTTGAGCAGTTGATCTCATATGAACGTGCCAAACGCATAATTCCTGTTTATTCTGCCATGCAAAGTCTCGGATTGTCAGATAAGATTGCTGATCCTTTGGCTGGTGCCAAAATTTCCTCGATGGTCGCGTTGTCATCAGTATCAGATACACCCGATGGCATGTTTGAGCAGGCACCAACTAATAGAATCAGTGCATTCGACGTTTGGAACTCTTCTTATACATCCATCGAAACAGGAGATTCGTCAACTGCAACCATACATATGACTGTTACTATCGATCCAGCTAGTGAACAGGGGCAGAAGTGGGTTCCAATCGTGAAGGCTATATCTGAACTCGAAGGAGTCTATCTTAAGATGTTCTTAAACCCCAAAGAACGTCTCCAAGAGCTTCCAGTCAAGAGATTTTATAGATACGTTCTAGATTCGAAGCCTACTTTTGACGACGAAGGTGCTCTGATTGAGCCTGGTGCCTCGTTTACCGGCGTGCCACAGGAGGCATTGTTGACTGTCAAGTTGGACATACCACCAGCATGGCTAGTTGCTCCTAAAGTTTCTATCCATGACCCGGATAACATCAAACTCAGCTCTATCAAGGCTGATGTCGATGCGTTATATGAGCTTGAACATATTCTCATTGAAGGTCACTCAAGAGACATGCCATCTGGCAGTCCTCCTCGCGGAGCACAGCTCATTCTAGGCACCGAGAGAGACCCACATTTTGCCGACACCATAATAATGTCTAATCTAGGGTACTTCCAATTCAAAGCTAACCCTGGATTTTACAAGATTGATCTACAGAGTGGAAGAACCTCCGAAATATTTAAAATTGATAGCATAGGCTCAAAAGGATGGGCGCCTGTTCCTGGTGACAACACCACGGAAGTTGTTCTCATGAGCTTTCAAGGAGCCACTCTATATCCTCGTCTTTCTCGCAAGCCTGGTATGGAAGGAGAAGATGTCCTTGAAGCCAAGGTTGAATCTGCAATGGACTACGTCTCCCGAGGATTAAACTTTGCGCAAGGCATCTTAGGCAGCAAAACAAAAGCTACTGCAGCAGTGGAGGAGCAGGCCGAGATAAACATCTTTTCTGTTGCTAGTGGTCATCTTTATGAGCGTATGCTGAATATCATGATGGTTAGTGTCATGAAGAACACGAAGCACACTGTAAAGTTCTGGTTTATTGAGCAGTTTCTATCCCCATCTTTCAAAGATTTCATTCCTCATCTTGCCGCAGAATATGGCTTCAAATACGAAATGGTAACGTATAAATGGCCTCATTGGCTCCGAGGACAAACTGAGAAGCAACGTGAGATTTGGGGCTACAAAATCCTCTTCTTGGATGTTCTTTTCCCATTATCTCTAGACAAAGTTATCTTCGTGGATGCCGATCAAATCGTTCGTACAGATATGATCGAGCTCGTAAATCATGATCTTCAAGGTGCACCATACGGCTTCACTCCTATGTGCGATAGCAGAACCGAAATGGAGGGTTTCCGTTTCTGGAAACAAGGCTACTGGGAGAAATTCCTTCGTGGCTTACCTTACCATATCAGTGCTCTTTACGTTGTAGATCTCCGCCGATTCCGTCAGATTGCTGCAGGAGATCGTCTTCGCCAACAATATCAATCTCTCTCTGCAGACCCAAATAGTTTATCAAACTTGGATCAAGATTTACCAAACCATATGCAACAGGTTCTTCCTATCCACAGTCTACCGCAAGAATGGCTTTGGTGCGAAACTTGGTGCAGTGACGAGAGTCTCAAAGAAGCGAGAACGATTGATTTGTGTAACAATCCGTTGACTAAGGAACCGAAGTTGGACAGAGCAAGGAGACAGGTACCGGAGTGGACACTGTATGACGATGAGATTGCCGCTGTCGATAAGAAGAGAAAAGGGATCAATATAAATGGAAATGAGAGTGCGGAGGGTAGAAATACGAAAAGTAGAACAATGGAGGAGACGGTGGATACAAAAACTAAGAAAGATGAGTTGTAGATGAGTGGGGAATAGAGAATTGATCTTTGTATGATGTATAATATTAGTTTATTTGTCATGATGCCTTTGTTTGCGTGCTTTTTCACTTCGTTCACTTAATATTTCAAGCTTCATTATTGCTGTATCAAATGTGAAGTGTTGATAGTTACACAAGCATCATTGACTCAAGCCTTTGTATATTGCATGCTTCATTGTAACTGAGCCACATATTTTCATCGCCCACTGTCTGACTGCTGCACAAGAATGAAGTAATAAATGTGTATGATTTGTATGAATTCCGGAGCAATTATTCATTACAAACATCTTGTTCCAAATATGCATCCTCTATATTCCAATCCATAGCTAGTAAGCTAGAAAATTGTACACCGCTTCAGCTCTGCTTGGGTCACTTTGAACAAGCACTATATCTCTACTTGTTCACATAGATCGAAGCGTTGACTGTAGGATCAAAGAATCAGGAGAATAAAGCAAAGCAGATTAGATTTGCAAAGTGTAGAAGCATCTAGTGATCTATGAATATACCGAATGAGGGGAATTCACACCCAAGTAATGTATACGCAACACCAATAAGGATATAGTAGATATTCACTTAGTCTGATATTAAGCCTTACACTTCCTGGACCTTCGTACTTCCATTAGTATGCCTTTGAAGTTCATATGGAACATTGAGCAAGTCAATCTCAACTCTCTAGACTGAAGGTACTTTAGTCACTCCTCGTCACGAAGGAGATCTCTCCCATATATTGTACATTATATCCAATTAAAAAATAATCAAAATCACATCAAGTTTACATGTTTCTCCTCAAAGTAATAGATGTCAGTCATAGTTCGAATTCACCCCTGCTGAGTGTCTGAGAATTCAACAGAGGTTGGAGGTCCGAGCACATTTCTCTGGATTTTGGCCGTTTTAAGTGAGCTGTATCCAACTCAAGAACCTCCCATTCGAACACTCCATAAACCTCAAAATCTGCAAACCAAAGTTATGGGTAGCACTATTAATCCTTGAGATTTCATATACCAGTTTCGTCTTTCATCAACAAGAGAAGAATTGTGGTACTTCATTTCAATAAAGGATACAGATTATTTTGGCTCAATCAACAGAGACCCATCATAACTCACTGTTACGACTTCTGGTTTTCACAAAAAGCTTACACAGAACATTGACTGGAAGGTCAAACAGAATTCAATATGCCTTTTAAGCCGTTTTTCGTGAGTATTTCCTTTCTCTTCAAAACCAATCAAGCAATTTGTTATCTTTTAGATCTCTTGACTAATTGATTCGTAGCCGTTCAATCAGGACCATCCAACCTTTCCTGCCGAATTTCGCTCCCAGCAGAAAGATTTCTCTTCAAGGGACGCAGCGAGAGGGGCTAATCCTATTCTACAAGATGATCGAATGAACCACAGCTTTATCTTCGAAAAAGGATGCCGCATAGCATTTTCTGGATTTTTCCGTCATGGATCAAAAGACTTTTGTCTTGTCGAAAACATGAATCCTGACCTCCTCACGGAGATCTTTTTCGAGATCAAACATAGTTCCAATCCTTCGGAACATGCAGATATCACAGCTGCAGTATGTGGTATCCGCGATTCGACTAAGTTCTTCTTCGTCAGCTGCAACTATCATGACCCAGAGCATATTACTATTCGCACATATGCCAAATTTAGGAACTTTGATTGGAATGACCAGTCGCAGATTGATGATCTCAATCTCTTTCGGATGGCAGCTATTGCAGAGGGTTGTGGCATCATTGCTTTTGCTGAAGACGGTCAAATACTCCCTCCATCTGAGATGAGATCGACGATTGAAGTAACACCTGAAGAGCAAAGCTCGAAGGAGCAGAGGGCTTCCACAATCGCAGAGTCTTCATTTGATGACATGCAAAATGATACACGCGTCTCAAACAGCTCTGATGCAAAAATTCATGTTACAGCTTCCACACCCGTGCTTTCAGGAGCGCAAAATTTGCAAGCACACCCGTCGGCACCAAAGTTCCAGTTTCGACCAACTGCACCGCAATTCCAACCAGTTACGACCAAATTTCAGGTCAATAGCAGGCAGCCCCATTTCAATGCCGGACCACTTGAAAGTGACCGAGTTCGGGGAGCGCCGGGCGTTGGGCAAGGGCTACAGAGTCTTATACGGCCCGGAGGACATGTGCAACAACCACCCGCTCAACATGATCGCAGCAATGAAACATTACACCAGTTCAACCAACGACAGGTCGACAACCAAGGCCAAAATCCAGGATCCGGAATGCAGCAACGACGTGAAAAAGTTGCGTCTCCTCACTATTCTCAGCAGATTGTGACCCAATTTCAAGGACAGGAATTTGGGATGCGAAAATTGCCTATCCATCACGGGAGTGATACTTTCCATGCTCAAGAGTATGGAACGCTACCACAACAGACACAACAAATTTACGGACATATGCCCCAATATACAACATTACAAAACTACACTCCACCACAGGACCAAAGATACAATTTTCAGCAGCAGCATCATCGACAGAGCTTTAAGCAATTTCAAGCCCAAGGTGACGTGATGGATCAGTGGTATAACCAGAAAACCCCATTACAATTCCAAAATCAAGTCTGTGGAATGTATCAACAATATGACCAGGGCCAGCAGAAGCTTGAACAGCCTCAACTTCATGGTCCCCACGCACCTCGTCAATATGTCCAACAAGATCAAAATGACTTCCAGAATCTTGTGGCCTCTCAACAAATTGCCCAGCGAAATCCTGTCCAAATCCAAATCGAAAGACACGGGGGAGCCCAGCAGTCACGGCAAGGTTATTATCACTTTGAAAACCTGACCACTGCGGAATTTCAACAGTATGAAAAGAACAGGAATAATAGCCAAGATTCGAACCCTCAGAAAGTACAATCTGCGCCCGAACAAAATAATCTGGACCCTCCCGAGTTCAAGTACTGAAGGCGAGACACTGACTTCTCGGAGCAATAACAAGACATCCGAGTCCAGATACTGGTGCAGGTGCAGGCGCAGGCGCAGAGGTGGGTTATCAAAGTGCTTTAAGTTCCATTTTTAAATGGGGTTTGTCGAATGACTTCGTCGGTACTCGTATGAGTGTCGAAAAGTATTAGAATATGTGGCTTCTATTGTGTAATGGCTGCCTGCAACTTATCAGTCCGTCGGGGGATATGTATATCGTGGGAGAAGGTGATCATACTAAAATAAGCGGATGTTAGTGATGTGAGCTTTCATAGTAGATGGGATAGGGAGGTAAAGAAAAGATTGTAAATAGGCCTGCTACTCTTGGCGCAAGAAATCCCGCTGTTCTTGTTCGCTTCTACCTAATTAGTGTTGCGTTTTTGCTTGGTATCAGGTGTGGAACAGACTATAAGGTTTTTGCAGCAGGATATTAGTGATGGAAAGCTTCTCAACATGGTCAGGGAGAATTACTGGATTAAAATGTAAAGAGAGTTACTCAAACCAGCCGCATGACGAGGTGTTCCTGACAAAGGTGATTACTTTACCTTGTCGTGTTATGCAAAAGTTTCATAACTTCGAGAACTCCACGTCACTCACATATCTCCCAACGATCACAATGATGGTGATCTTCATGATTATTTCAGGTCTTTTAGAAACCCTCAAGACAAAACTGAGTGAATTTGCTGTCCTAGCTATATTCGACTTGAAGCGAAATCCCGTGACTTTTGGGAAAGCAGTGTACAATTGAATTTCTCCCCTCCTCCCCTCCGCTACGGCAACCAGTCTTTTCATGTCAGTTTTGCAACCACATTTCTTCGAATTGCAAAATCAAGACGGCTTTCTCTTCCTTGTACATTTCTATTGAGTGATACAATTTACAATCATTGGAGTCAGAGTTGCCATCACTTGCACTTTTTTTTTTTCTTACTGAGCACCTGGTGTCTCCCCTCTCCACCGAATATTGCACAAGTTTGAGAACAATAGACTTTCATAACACTAGTAGGGATTCCTATGATGATAATCTTCTATTTCTATTGTTTTCGGTTAGATTTGCTAATATTGCCTGAAAACTAGCAGCTCATTCTGACAGGAACCGATTGTCATCAAGGCAGAGCCCAAATTACTCAAAACAAACTCAAAAATTGGCGCATCACGAAAGCTTCAGTCACTTAACACGCAGATAATAAGCAGCCCAAGATTTACAAAAACAACATCGTCGTTGGCCATTGATAGCGACTGGGTTGCCCTTCACGTTTCAAATACTTGTTCAAACCAAGCAATTTGAGTTGCACAGAATTCCCACATACAACCCTCACAAGCAGGTAGCTCTACTGGATTATTTATCAGAAAATTCAGGATCAAGTAAGTCCAACAAGCTACTTTACCTTTCAGCATGCTAATATGGCTTTAGAACGTTTTGAAGGTCTTCGCCAGAAACAATTTCAACATCCTCTTCTAAAACTTGAAACTACTACAAATTCATTATGTCTCCACCTCAGATATCCGTAGACGTTGCTTTGACCTTGCTTGTATGTTGGCTATGATATAACATATCTTTGATGGAACAATTGTATACTAACTGATACCCAGAGGAACAGCGATACTAATTTTCTCATCGGCTACGAAAATTCGATCCCTGATCCGAGATACTTGACAATCGAGCAAAGAAGAGACCACACTGCTGCTGTCTTGGGAAAGCCCGAGCCTCATAAGTTCATCTACTTTCATTTCAGGAAGGTCGACGACTGGGTAAGATCTAAGCAAATTATCATGCATAGATACCCCAATGCCCGCCACCACGATTGGGACAATCAGGATGATATCAATAAGCTCAATGTGTTCAGAATTGCTGCCATCACATTAGGATTGACTGGTACTGATGTTTCAGTTGGAGAGAGATGCTGGAGCATTGTACCCAAGTCACTAAAGAGAATGTGGTTCCCAAATTTGGTACAATTTGTTGAAGAACGCAGAGCTGAATTTGCCAGATATTTAGCTCAGGCGACCATCGATGAAGAAGCTGATGGAGATGATGAAGATGATGAAGACGATGAAGACGATGAAGACGACGGAGATGATGGAGACGACGCACATAATGGTATTTCTTCAGGGCTTTCCGATGAATTTAAGATTGTAGCTGACATTCCTGGAGGTCAGAATAACCCTATTACTCTAGCTCACAGTACCACTGAAGCTGTAGCTGTATCCTCAGAAGAACAGCAAGGATCCGCAGAAGCAGAAAGCGGTATGACTCTTGAGACAATTGATAATCACAGTGTTGTAGTTAACAGCTCAGATGATGACGACTTATCATCCGATGGCGATAGAGATCGTCAAGCGCTTCGAGCCTATGACGCTGCTCAAACTGCGCTCGCATCTTCCTCCAACATCCCCGTTGGATTATCAATTCTGAACCCAGAATTAAGCTCTGCTTCTACACATAGCTGCTCGCCAATCTTCTACTCTCCATTCATTGGCTCTCCAATCGTTGGTCCTCAACCATTGAGTTTACCTGCAGAAATGGGATCGTTGAATCTCAGTGATGACCCTGATGAAATGGACTTTGAGTTGGAGAATTCTGTCAACAATGAGAGCTATGAAGAAAGTTCATTGCTATAGAGAGCGAGATAGCTGCAGGTGAAGGCAAAGTTTGTGTGCGTAAATTTATCCAGAACTTAACTTCTGATCCAAGCTAATGTCAAATTTCCAGAATAACAAAAGCTTGCGTTGAGAAATTTGGATGTACTGGGATCTCAGTAAATCTCTAACAAAGTTCGAGAAATATCCTTGGTGTTCGTATGATTCGATTCTCTCCACCAAGCCTACGTGTTGCTCAACTACCAACGTCTCACCATCGGCGAGAATATTTACGCGGATCAGCCTCGGATATTCTGCGAATCCAACAGCGATATCTCTACAGTTTCGCAAAATTCCCCTTTCAACAAGCCTCCATTCCACAAGCCTTCATTCCTGCGACTTATGTTTTTGGCAATATTATGTCTAGAAGAGCACCTTTTTTTGATAATAGTCAATGGCAAAGCCAGAAAGAACACCGGTGTTGGCATAGCGGGTTCACTACGGTTGGCTTTTGAATGTTGTTTCCTTTTCTGTCTATTTCTTTAATTTCCTTGATAATAATAAAGTTGATGGATTTCGTCGCAGAAAATCTGTTGAACACAGACATAGCTTCGTTCAGACCTTCTATCAAAGACGTTGTTCTTCAGTCGACATTGCGTCTTCGTCGCGATATTGGATCAACGCTATCTTGGCTAGATTGCACTTGTTTGTAATCCTTCCGGGAAGTCATCTTAGCTAGGTAGTTCATGGAATAAAATTCTCTTGAATCAAATACGATTGAACGGATTCTCAGTTTACTCGCTGATGACGCATGAAATGTCTCTGTTATGATTCTGCTTGTACATGTAAAAGCCGCATACCAAGAGAAGATCAATTGAAACTAAAATTCATCACTTCTAGTTAATATTCATGAGCCGCAGCTACCTTTTCTGTCCTGTGAACTCCAGAACGGAGCACCTCAAATCGGGGCTTTTTTTCAGCATGCCAGTTCAAGATACAAACAGTAATTCTATTTCAATATATATTTACATGACTAAGTAATTATTATCATTAAACTCTGAGGTGTATAGCGAGCGCCAAGAATTTAAACAGCAGGTCCTCTACCAATCCAGGTACGATAACTTCTGAAAGGACCTCTTCGTTTATCAATATTCTTATACTGTCTACCAGGAGCAAGTCCTTGTTGATTGGTAGTAAAGTATAACCATCCATCCAAGATGGCCATTGTATCAGCAGCCTGAACTTGACCACCACGAACGAGGGTCTTGAGGTTATAGTTCGCAGCTGCTACCATGCCTTCACCACCAGCTGGGACCCCGTTGACCTCATCGGTGACTTCGGACTGAAGAGTATCAGCGTAGAGAATTGCGTTTTGCTGCAGGTTGAATTAGTAACAGTATGGAATCATAAAAGGTAAGAGACATACAGCAGAAGCACAAATATATACTCTTCCACGGTCATCAGCCGTAAATCCAGCTTGCTCAGATGGAAAGTTTCCAGGATTCTGAACTACGGCCTCGATCTCTGCGTCTGTCAAATTAGAGATGAAAGCTTCCTGAGACGCAAAGTACCAGTGGTTAGAAGCCTTGACACCCCAGTACACATTACCCCCAGTCAACGCAATGCCGTTAGTTCCAGAGTTGAGGTTTGAAGATGTAGTACCGACCCAGTTTCTGATGACTTCTCCATTGTACATGGAGATAAAATGGGGATCGGGGGTCGTGAAGGTGCTATTGAAGAGATGTCTAACAGTGGCTCCGGTGTCGAGATCTATAGTCGTGATAGAACCGTATGCTGAGTCCTCGGTAACAAATGCATATCCGGCGGTGCCAAGAGTATTGTTGACTTTGATATCGTTCAACTGGATTTTGGTATAGTAAAGCTCAGGTGGATAGATATAGTTACGGATCAGCTCTCCGGTAGTGTAGTTGAATGCCATAATTTTAGCTCCATAGGTCGTGGGGTAGGAACTAAGTGAAGGTCAGCTGATGTTTCACACTTCAAAAAAGCACTAAGCCCCTGAATTCGTAGACGAAGAAACAGAAATATAAACATACGCTCCATTAGGAACTCCACTATCAATAACCCAAAATGTGCCCTCCGCATCCAAAACCACATTCTGCACATTGACAAAGCACTCTGAAGCATTTTGACCCGCAACACAATTTTGCCATTCAGCTGATGGCCAAGGAGCTTCACTATTGAAGCCTGTTGCTTTTGTAAGAGTCCAGTTTTGTGGCTCCATATTCCGTGCATAGGTGAAGAAGATATTGCCATCCGGATCCAAACCTAGTCCCGTAGGAGCACGCACATACTCATGAACGGCTTCCAATCCTGGCCCGATGACATCCAAATCGGCTGAACATTGTCCAATGGTGGTGAGATTGGTGCGCTGTTGTGATAACGGAATCGGACAGGTGCCATTGAAGGTTTGAGCGGCTGCTGTCGCTGCAAAAGCAGCTAGAAGGAGTAACATCCTTACGAGTCTAGAATGTTCGCGTATTGACGAAAAATGAGAAGCACAAAGAAACTCAATAAAACACACGGTCTAAGATCCATTCATCATGATTAGACGGGAGGTATGTATTTATTTGAAAATTTGAATAAGGCTGCGCCTGCAATCATGGCAATACTGCGGTACTGAAAAACTTCGGCATTTCGATTTAAGGTTGGTGATGATGATATTCGGAACTTGGCACTCGCTTGGCATATTCCACAATTTATTTAGAGGCGCCGGCGACCCCTCCACGGCCACTTGGCGCATGATATTGTGGAATAAGCTCAGATTAATGAGGTGGACGAAGCGGCTTGCTCGTGGTGGATCTCCAAACACCTTAATAGATAAATTGGAGGTAAATTATTTGTTCCAAGGAATTGGCAAACTTTCTGCGATATTGTATATATAAAGTGAACCCGCGGATTTTTTTTTGGAAAGAAATGCTATATGTCTCGGAGGTTTGATTCTGATTAAGATAAGGTTTGCTTACTTGGAATTTCTACAAAGCTCAAAGAGGGCATATGCTGTGCCAAGTGGATGCTGCAAACTAACATAGCTAATTATTAACTGTGACCCCTTTTTTGATAATGCCCAAAATCTACATTTTCCCCAGCATGTCATCTCAATTATATCCTTATTTCATTAAAGATAGAAGTACAAAGTGTGCGAATGAAAGAGACCATGGACAAATAATTTGTTAATGCTCTGTTATCGGGAATCATGACATGCTAAAACCAGAAATTTCATTTATGAAGTTCTGGTTTAAACAAGCTTCGATATCTCTTTTTTCTCACATGGGTACCCGAATCGAGATTCTAGTGGCCCAAGTTCGCCTAAGCAAAGCAACTCCTCTGACGCCAATTCCTCAATCAGTCAGATCTCCTAGGATCGGACTAAATACTATTGCCTTTAAGAAGGAGTTGACGAAAAATCCTGTGATCAGATGTACCTGGATCTTAAGATCGAGAATAGTGGAGTTGCTGTTCGGTACTGGCTGCCGCAAGCCTCAAGTTTATAAGTTAAATTTGGTAGACACTGAGGTGAGGGATCCGCCGTTCGGAGCGGAAAATGCTGAGAATGTAGGGAATTGAAGGTCTTAGACAAGGAAGTCTTTAGCAGCTCGATATTCGACAGGAAATATGCTAGGTCGCTGATTATAAGGAATGAAACGGCTCATTGATATCTTATGTTAATATCCCGAGTTCTCCAGAGCGAGAAGGAAGTACTTGGAAGGTAATGCCTTTTGATGAAAACATTTTTTGAAAAATTGGGATTCCCTCCTTGTTCTCTCCATACTTCATTCATATCCCATTCATTGCGAGTGGATTCAAACGTAATTCGTGTGCAAACTGGAGATTCAAGAATGACATATCCGCGTCGTGTACCCAAAGACTCGATAAATAAAGCCACGGATTCAAAATTCAATACCTACCCGGGTGCATTTCGTTGCATTGTAGTTTTGTACTTGAAAGGGGTATACCTGGTCGTGATTCAGCAGTTATATAATAAAGATAATATACGATGGACTTCGAAATAGCTCTGTAATTCTTTTAGTTTGAATGCAATGGAATGCAAATTATCAATCTGTAAGTGAAATAGAATGAATCTCAATGATGCATTACCGGTATTCTTATAGAGTTGTTTTTGGCATTCACCTAAAGTGCTCTGTGTTGAAGCTACCCAGCATTGTTAGCCATTGGACAAATCAATTTTATCTGATATCATTTGAATCAATCACAACTAGCTCCTCTTACTTTTAACATGTAGTAATGCTAGAAACCACAAACATCACAAATAACTCTATCTAATTCCTTTCCTGATTCATTCCATGTATAATGTGTTTGTATTTGATAGCATTTAGTTCGAGTTAGTTTTCTACAGCAACTGTGAATAACGAATCCCTGAGCATACTGTCGTCGACCTGCCGACCAGCTGTACGTCGTTTCAGAACAAAATGACCGTACCTTTATTTATCTATATAAACAAAAGATCTTACAACCTGAGAACTTCTTTACTTCATGAGATAACTTTCACACCAAGTACCTGAGAAATACTACTTTCAAAAAGACTTCCAAGGACAAAATCTTTCCACCACAGAACCAAGTTCATACACTCTTTCCGTATTTTCATACTTGAAACATACTGTCTGTCAAGACATCTACTATCCAGAAATTATTTTAACTCAGGACATCAACTTGTAAGTATATTTCACTATCAAAGACTTGAGAATCTATCCAGAGTTAAGTATCAAAGCACTGCTCTCAACTGCTCCATGGTATCCAGCTGAAGACTAGCCAGCAGTTTTACTCATCCATACTTTTTATTTTCAACACCAAACAATCGTTTATATTCACTAACGGTAATAAAGATTTAATCTAGATCAACATGTCCCAAAAGAAGAACCAAGAACTTCCACCCACCAAGGCCCCTCTTCCCCCATTTGGAGAGCCAGGGCACCAAGGAAAATCCGCTCTCCTCCGCGAAAACTTTCTCTGCAACCTCGCAGATGCGATCGTTCCTGCTGGTCTTTTCGGTGATCACAAGAGACACCGCCGAGACAGCGCCTATAGAGCTGGCGACTTCAAAAAGGCCGATGTAGAGGCCCACGATGAGGAGGATGACTGGGTCAATTTGACAGATAAGACAGTCAAATCTGGTCCTCTGCAGATCACTCCCCGTGATGCGAAATCTGAAGAGCGTCGCCGCAGTCCCAGCATGAGCAAATCACCACCAACGAGTCCGGGCTTTAGCCAGGCTAAGCTCAGTGCGAGATCAATCCAGGATGCCTTTGTTGCTTGGGCTATCACTGGCGATACCGATCTGACTCCTGCCGTTGTTGGCCAGCCCGACAACTCCAAGTTCGTCCTTCGTCGCTACGATATCCGTGATCCTACCAAGATCGAAAAGAAGCGAATCGATTTGCACATTGATGAATTCGACTGGAACAACAAGGAGCATGTTGATAGGTTGAATAAGGCTCGTCGTCACTGGGAAATCAACACTCTTGAGTCTAACCCTCAGACCAGTGGAAAGTCCCGGTAAGTCACACATGTCCTGAGAATTGAGAGATTTCAAATGACTAACGATAATCATCTGCAGTGTCACAATCGATGGAAGACGTTCGCCTGTCGACACCTCCGTCGGAAGCTGGTCACCTGGCGATGAGGAGGATGATGATGGAGACTTGATTGATTTCTAGAATAGCTAGAAACTTAGCGAGCAATATTTGTTAGCCATTAGCTGACTACTGAGCATGTTGAATCATTATGGGATGTTATGAACGGGACAATTCCTTGAGATGATGTAATGACCTTGGGGTTATGGAGCGGCAGGACTTATTTGTTTGTTTTGACATCACAGAATTTCACGGCGTTTTGCATGTTTGTAGACCAGGTTTTACACAGATAGAAAATGAGCTTCGGTGCATACTATTCGTGTTCAGTTTTACATGTGACTTATTCTGTGATATGACTACTAGTAATGATGCCCCTTGATAAATCTTTTGGAACCTCGCATATGTCGTCGAAAGATAAAGCTTAAAATGATGGAAGTTAAGTTGATCATCAGATAAAGGGCTGCCGGGTTTGAAATTTCAGGAGATCGAAAAGGTGCCCACACTAAGGAAACTTCCTCTTTTCCACCCCGAATATAATTTCAGGAATGAGAATGATCTCTTGCTAGGTGCTAGATATCGCGTTCCGAGTCTGATTTCTAATTAACATGCATTTACTTCCCACAATAATCGGTGGTATACTGGACTAAATCGTAGAGCAGAGAGTGATGAAGAGAGAAATTTGAGATGAAGGTGAGACTATGATGGACTTCACAAAGAGGGATGACTCAGTGTGAACACAGAGATGGAATGAAAGGGAGGACGAAGAGATGGGCATCGAGATGGGAAGAAGAGAGGAGTGGGTGCTAGTGGATACTAAATCGTAGAATGAGACAAATGTAATAGATACTCCGCAAAAACTGATTCTCCTTCTAATATGCTTTTAGATAATTAAGCCCTATCTAACGACAGATCTGATTTATGGGGTCTTTTCGCTTGGAATCTTGGCGTAATATGTGCTTCTCCTCCTGTACCTTCTTTTGTTTCTACCAGCCCGAAGGCTAGAACAGCGGAGTACGTGTAAACGAAGGTGATGCGAGACTAGAACCAAGAAAGCTGGCGGGAATCGATGCTGAATAGGATATCCAGCCCTTTCATTCTCATTGCCTCCATGCATAGAATATGAGAAGGTTGTAGCCTCCACTTGAAACGCATCTTGGACTTTGGAATAGTGATGGGGCCTGCTCCCTCTCTGTGAGTTAGGATTTAGGATATGCCAAAATCTAGAACCAATTCTGTTTGAAATGCTTCAACCTCCAGCAGATACATTGCACTGATTGGTCAAGATTTTGACAAGAGACAAGGAGAGGCTCACATAACTTGTTTCATTGATCTCAACACCTTAAAGAAACTGAAGACCCAACATGAGTGTCTATGTACATCCCATGTATGCTCGAAAATGGTGAATGAAAAAGATGAAATCTGAATTCATCCTCATACCGACAATATCCATACGTTAAGGTAGAGAAAGGATAGAGAAACCGCAGTATTAAACCAATTGTTTGTAGTAAAACATGTACAACTCTGTGAGGTTAACAAATACATATTAAATGCTTCTCTCGTATTCACTCGAATCAAAAACAATTGTACCATCCCAACCATCTACAATATTCACTCCTCACTTCCCCCAAGAATACAATTGTTTCTATATGTAACATTCACATAGCAACCACCGTATCAATGGCGGGGTAAAGGGTGATGCCTGATTCTACCGAAAAAGGGAATCTTTTATCAAGTTCAACATTGATACAAAAGGATCCGGAATTTTCATCTTCTTCGAATTATTTCTTTCTCACAATAACTTCTTCCACCCTCACAACATCAACGTTCCGACCTCACAAAACTCTTTTCAACTCTTTTTTTAACAACAATTCAATCTTTTCTTGGTATTGGATTTCAACTTTCTTCCGTCAGCAGCAACCTCTTTGACACGATTTCTTGATTTCTTGATTTCTCTTGAGAATATCCCCGAAGTTTCCAAAATACATTTAACCTTCAGTAAGTGCATCGATTCTTTTCCAGCTCTTTACATGCCATCTCTTACCTGAGTTCTTTGCCTATCCTTGTTCTTCACTCTTGCGAATTGAAGCACTTCTCATAAAAGCAATCCTCTTCCTGCAGAATACACTTCCTCCACTCTCTCTACCCTCGCGCTCGCGCAGATAGATCAATCTCCTGCATTGTACTTAGCTCAGTCAATCTTCACTTTTGTACGAAGAGCCTCGTATCGTCGTTCAGTGCACTCTTTCTGGAGCATCTTCTTCCCAATCATTCTGGCACATCATCATTCCTTCTTGCGCTTGTGCATTGAATATCCAAAACCTTTCGTTGCACGTCTTCATTCAGATCTGCTGCCCCCATTGCATAACAGATTCGTACAAACACTTTCATCTTTCATCCTTCGATCAATTTTGTACGATCATATCTGACATTTTCTTGTCAGTGACATCACTCTGCACACTCTCCCAACTCAAGATTATCTGGTTCACATCAGTGAGCAGTCTTCCAAAGATCTCGTTTATTCTTTGCATGAGTTCCAAGAACTAGGTATTCACCTGAATTAACTGATTGAAGATCTCATGTATTGGTACTAATTCATTTGAAAACTTAGCGAAAATCGAAATCCGAACACAGACGAGTACACATGATGCAGAGTATACGAGAAATGAAACAGAACGGAGGAGAAATCATGTACAACCGTCCGAAGTTACCTCCTTGCAAAGGCTTGGATGTTCTTAGTGCCGCTGCTGCTTCCCAGGAAGAAGATCGAGCTTCTGTAACTTACCACAAAGATCTCGGAGATGAACAGCAAAGATCTGCCACTCCTTTCGAACGCCTAGAACATAGCTCGAGCCGCGTTTCTGGGAACAGTAATGGTAGTAAGTCCAAGAACGCCTTCACGGCCGGTGAGAAGATTACACACAAGACTTCTTTGCCGAGCGACCACAGAGACGGATCGGAAATGTCTCTCGATACAACAATCAGTCCCTTACGTTCTCCACGTGTATCGCGGACTATTAAGGAGCAGCTCAGCCAGACTTGCCCTTTCCAGCGTAACCACTTAATCGGTAGATTTTGTTTTAATTGTCGATGTATGGAGATGCCATGGGGAGACAGACTTCCAGTGGCTCTCGACACGAACGGCAACAAAATCCAAGTCCCCCCACAAGGTGCATTGCTAGAGGGTGTAAGGAACTTAACTGAACCGTACGAAATTGCCCAGCTTTCTTTGCTCGTCGAGTTTCGCATCATAGAACAAGACCTTGCCACCATTCCTGGTCTCGTTGCAACTTTCAAATACTTCCCACATTTGCATGATGTTGCTCATCGAATTGCAGATATGGTCAAAGAGCTTCGAACCTTGGCTGATGAAAGTGAGAGTGAACGAGTACCACAATGGTTCGATACACTCCATGAGCTGTTGAAAAATCCAAATTTGACGCATGAACAATACTTCGCACAGATAACTGGGGATTGGAACTTCCAAGCCAAGAATCCAGCACCACCCGTCCAAGAAGCTCGAATTCCAACACGTGTATTTACCGGTATTCCAGCAATGCTCACCATAGAAGATGCAATCAACTATGAAAACAATCGCGACAGCCAGACCGAAGCTGAGGCTCACGAACTTATGGATCATCTCAATAGGAATGAGAGCAGAGGTCCAGGATTTGTACAATTCACGATCGACTTTGTAAGTTGGTTGAGGGAAGGAGCGCATAGCACTGGTAAAGGTGCGCCACAATGGAGTCCTCGCTATGCTCAAGAATACTACAAGCATGTGTATCCCGCGCGTGCATTGGCTCCCGGTATCAAAAACAATGGCACACGATTGTGTGGTCGATTGGATTTCTCAAGTCATCGTGACTCCACACCCACAACACCACGTTGTAACGAAGAAGCTTCTGATGTTGAGCTCTACGATAGCAATGATGACGAAGAAGAGCTTGAAGGAGCTTACTTCCGTAAGCTTCCAGAAGTTAAGAAGAATACGCCAGGTCGTGTCAATGTTACGTGGCGATTTGTCGAAGGAACAGATATCACAAATGCACAACTAGGCAACCCTGATCCTAGCAAGTTCTACTTGACCCGCCAAAATGTCGATGATCCTGAAGAGATTGATCTCCGCCAATACGCACAAATTGCCGGATTTGACTGGAATAATCCTGCCGATATCAAGAAGCTCAACAAGGCTAGAGCTCAAAACCGTAAGCGTACCCATGGTAATATTGCCGAAACACGAATCCCATGGACACAGTTGGAGAAGGACAAACTCATAGAGGAGGTACAAGATGCGATTAGGGTTGGTGAAACCAGACACACGATTGACTGGGATGAGATTGCAGAACGTCTCAGACAGAGATTTGATGGCTTTGTGCAGAAGAAGGGATCCAAGTTGGCACCAGGAGTCGAGAGAGAACCAAAGAATGGCAAGAAAGATAGAAGTAAGTCAATATTTCTTTGATGCTGTTGTATGATTCAAGACTTGAAAGCTCGGAAGTTCCGGGCCACTATTATAGATTCACTTTATTCTTGAGATAGGATAGCTAACTAATTATTTCACAGCTCTCAAGACTAGTCGCAGCGATCGCGTAGGTTACAACCGCACAGGCTCTGCAACTGAAACACAAGCCTTAAAATATCCAGACATCCTCAAGTTGATAAATGATGCAACTGGACTTGGTGGAAAGGGAGGTCGTGGCATGCTTAGAGGTCCTCGTCGACTCTCGCAGGCTGCTGGTGACGAGAAGAAGGAATCAAACAGCCGGCCAACAAAGCAAGACACGCACGCCTCCCGCCGCAGCTTTTCACAGTCTATCGATGACGAACAAGATGAGGACGACCATCCAGCAACAAAGAAATCAAAGGGTAGCAGGGCTTCTGGAAAGATGTGTAATGCGCAGACCAAAGAACTTAATCCTCTGGCAAAGCGAACTCTGGACCTTCCCAGTTACAACTTTGTGCACATGTTTGATGACGTATACGATGAAGAAAATAATCGTCCATCGAAGAAGGCAAAGATTATCCATCGTCGCCACTCAAGTAGCCCACCACCTCGTATGCTAAAGAAGCATTATAATGATGATGAAGATGACGGACCGCTACCTTCACCATCCCGATCATCTGCATTGAACGCTGCGTTTAGATTGAGGCTTCCGAAGAGTAGTGCAAAGCAATTTGACGCCACTTCAAGCAGGAAATAGGCTGTTTCCAAACCCATACCGGTGGAATCTCTACTACTTCTTGGTGTCAGACATGCTTCCTCGCGCTCCTTGTTTACGCATAGATTCCAGCTCAGACTATGGCACCAAATAATATTCTCGATATTTTGTCTTAATCTTCAATAACTTTCGGTTCTCAGTCAAGATGTTGAGAAATAAAAGGTTTTCACTGCAAATTTTCAATATGTACGATTACTGTTTCTCAATAATACGAGTTCAGCACAATTTTCGCAGCGATTCAATTCAAAAAAAGCACACGCGAACACTTTACCCAGCTATTTTCGCCTATCAGAAGGTGCTTCTCATGAAAAATGATGACATCAAACCCACGCATTCGGCATTCGACAGTTCTACACACCATAAAAGTTTCTTTCATCTTAGGTTTAGGTATGGCGATAAGGTACGGTACATAGTAATATGGATATGACGAAGATTATACGAAGAAATAGCTTCGACGGCATACATACAGCTCTTATTGTTTCTTCTGATGCAATAGGGTTGGAATATGTATGATAACTAGAGGTTATGGAGCACTTTTACAATCATGATGTAATTTCTTTTGTTTATTTGGGTTTAGGTTGGGTTTGTGCTTCATTTTATGATAGTGTAGGATAATTAAATCGACGAAGAAAATGTTTAAGCCAAATTTGTGATGTGCGTGGTGTGAGTTGTGTTGTCTTTGTACTCGTAACGTGTTAGGAAGTGATGATGTATGTATAAACACAACCCCTTTTTGTCCGCTTATGCACTCCGCTTTTGTGTGACGTCAAGTATTCAATCCTCCTACTTTGCTGGAATCTTTTCCACGCAGCTACCTGCCACTTTTATTTTTCAAAATAAGAGGTGTGTGTTTCTATTAACCTAGGAAAATCTCAAAGGCCCCTGTATATCTACGAGGACAGTCCGATAATGATTGAGACCCGTAATAAAGAGTAGAGTGGTAAAGATACGGATATTCATTTCAAAGTGCAGGCTTAGAACTTTAGAAAAGTTGCCGTAGCATGGACTTTTATGTAGATGACTTTTTACTTGGGATGACTGGATGTTGCGACGGCTATTGAAAGTGATCGCTGTGTAGATATCTGACGGAAGACAAAGCACCATTTATCGGGAAAATCTTGCGGTTGAAACTATCGGATTCCAGAGGGGAGCGAAATTGCGAGTGGAAATTGGAAGGCTGGATAGAAGAAGGATTGTGGAATCAATCTCGAGAAAGTAGCCTTGACAGAAGAGGACTTGGAAGGAGGGAAGGGAAGGGAAGAGAAGTATATCATACCCAATGGGGAGACGTATGCATGAAATCCTCATACTTCCCCAAACGGACATGATACCGTGAGACCAATAATCCGTAGTTCTTTCCCAGCGAATTGTAACAATGTCAAGTTGAAATAAGGGTTGTCAATTCATATTATGTATTGGAAAATTATATACAAGAACGTAATGATTATGCTTGCGATGAGCTCTGTACAGTGTACTCTATTCATTCCTCTTTTTCTTTCTTTCTTTTTCTGAAAATCGGATGAGTTTTTCCATCCATCTCTTTATCCACATGTATCCTCGCATCCAGACTTTTTTTTATTCTATGATTTCCTAATAATCATCTTCTTCCTCATCTTCATCTTCCTCGTCGTCGTAATAGCAGACATCGTCGTCATCATCACCGTCATCGTTGTCGTTGTCGTCATCCCCTGCAGTACTGGAAGATGCGGCGGCAGCGGAAGTAGTGGTTGTTGTGAAGTTGGTGAAGATTAGGGTTGGAGCTGCTGAGGAGAGGGTTTGGGAGGTGATTGTGGAGATGGAGATTGAGGAATTGGTGTATACCAAGGTTGGGGCTGCTGCGGAGGTTTGGGAAGTGATTATTGTTGTGTTGGTTGGAGAGAGGGTGGGGATTAAGGTTGTGGTTGCTGCGGAGGGGAGTTCGGAAGTACTGGTGGTTGAATTGGATGGGGAGATAGTAGAAAGTAAGGTTGTGGTTGCTGCGGAGGCGATTTCGGAAGTACTGATGGTTGCATTGGGTGGGGAGATGGTTGATATTAAGGTTGAGGCCTGGGAAGTACTGGTGGTTGCATCGGTCGAAGAGATGACGATGACAGAGGTACTGGCAGCGGCTGAAGGGATCTCAGAAACACTGGTGGTTGCGGCTGCAGATGGAACTTCCGAGGTACTGGTGGTTGCCGCGACTGAAGAGATTTCAGAAGTGCTGGTGGTTGTTTCCGCTAAAGTACTGGCAGCAGCAGATGGAGTTACAGTCGAAGTATAAACGACTTCGATTGTAGACGTAACTGTCTCGTAAGAAAAGTCTGTTTGAAACGCAGTGCTCGTGACAACACAAGGATTGGTTGTCAATTGCACAATGTTGAAAACGCTTGCCGGAGCTGGTACTTGAGTGACTGGTCCATTATTCAAGAAGCACTCATAAAGAGCACCAATAGTGGTAAACACAATTCCGTTACATGAACTGGCAGATGTTTTCAGATTGTTGAGAGCGTTGCAGAAGGATACACAGATAGAAGTGGCAGCAGCTCCAACGGGCTCGACATAGGCACGAATAACAGTTCCACCAATGAGCGATGCACCGCACTGCTGAGAATAATAATTGCCTCCGGTCAGGGACCAAACTGCGCCGGCCGAGCAAGTGCCTTTTGGGATTACGCTATCTACATTACAGGTAGTCGCTGTAGTGATAACAGGGTAGGCAGTGGTAATGGTGTTTGTGACTGTACTGAGGGTGGTCGATGTGACTGCAACTTCTGAAGGACTGACAGCTTGTCGTGGGGCGACGACGACAGCCTGACTCAAGCCGGTTAAGGCAGAAAGAACGATCAAAACTCTCATATTGGATGACTAAAAACAGTTTAAAAGAACGACAGATAGAAACAAAGATAAATGAGTGATTGAATTGAGAGAGACGAATGGATATGAATTATCTAAAGAGAGATGATCTACAACTTTGTATAAAAATGATTGTGGGGAACCAAATTCAGCTCTATAGTCCTAAGGAAAACAATGAGATTTGCGCTAAGTATAGATAGTGCGATACCACTAGTATGCGAGCACGTTCTGGTCCATTGAAGAGCAGAGTAAGATCGTTTGCGGAGCGAGCCGTATTTTCTTGCCACGAGGCAAGCATTGCATTTGTATATTTGCACACATCACATGAAGTCTCTTGGGGTATCGTGATTCCTTTGTTGTTCTGGCCAGGATGAAATCTGAGAGAATACCTTCTCTGGACACCAATTCGTTGCGTTTCCGATTCTTTCACTGCCTCCTAGAAGATACCATAGCATGTAAGGAACATATGGCGGACCCAACAGACAACACGACCCCAGACTAATTACCTGTGTCCCGCTATGAGACCCTTCATTCTTTTCTTAGCCTGAAAATAACGGACGAACAATCCCATTTAGAGCGCCGACATAGTCGCTTACTATGTCAAAACCTTCATTATTTCCCAATCCGTCTCTAGCTTCTTCCCATTCTCAATCATCCGAAGAAAGAATACCATAGGAGAAGTGGATTGATTCGTGAATGTTCACCAGAATGGGATATCTGTGGATCTGGGGCTGATTGTGGCTTGCTCATTCATTGCTCTTTAGTCCCTTTTGGTGGGAGAATGAGAAATTTTTAAAATTGCAATATCTTTCTACCGCGTCTAGATTTTTCGTTTGTTTTCCCCTGAATTTCCTCTCCACGATTCGTTGGGTGATCAAAGCGCTGGGATCGCCGTGATTCGTCGATCTTTGCATCTTGAGGCTTTGATTGGCTTGTTATGAGTGATGATCCTCCATCTCATGATCATGTGACTCTATTTCTTCGATGTCAATGTATAGGTCTTGTTTAAATTTTATTTTAAGCTTAATGAAGGAAGAAACTACGGATAGAAACAAGGATAGTTGAGTAAAGACGCTTGTTTGTCAAGGAGGGAGCTTCAGGTAGAATGATCTTAAGATGTCACGTTTCGGCTGAGATTCGGAATGAGGTGCATGGGCATTCATTTTAGTTCACTTCAATTCGAGCATTGAATAAACGTTGTCTTTTGACTTCGAGACCGACTGGACCACATTTTCTTCTTCGAATGCAAACTATAATATCAATGCTTCGCGATGACTAGAAGTGATTCATATGCTCAAATGCTGCGCCATAAACATACAAGTTCTAACGAGAAGAGTCAACCGTACACCAATGAAGAACCCAATCACGCTCAACTACCATTAAAACCATCTTTGTCCATATCTGCACACTCTGATCGTTAGACCAAGCTCGTCATAGCGAATCAAGTCCCTAAAAGTAAAAAATCCTACAAACCTTGAAAATTAAGACTTGAATGGTTGCGACGGAAGCTCTTGTGTTAAATTTGCTCAAGATTCTTAGTGTGGCAGTCCCATCATTGTAGGTGTCCAGGAGTGGACGAATGAAAGAAAGAGTAGTGAAAGTTCCAACATGAAACTAAATGACCATTGAATGAGAAAATGTAATGTATCGTACTGATTTGAAATACTCATTGACTCTGCTCCGAGCTTTTACGTGTCAAAGGATGGACATTACCCGGGGATTTCTTGCCGTCAGCCTGGCCTGATTTTCTACGCTTCATGATAGGCTCATTTTTTGAAGACTCATCAGCACTATCTACCTGCATCTTATCGATTCGTGTCGAAGAAGATTCAACACATGAGTTTTCTTCCTCATTCACCATTTGCATTTCAGTATCGGGCGCGGCACAAGCAGTCGTGCCGGCCCTGATATTTGAAGGAGGATCTTGATGTGTATCATCAATTATCTTAAGCATCTCGTCAACAGACTTGCGCTTGCTGGGGTGTTCTATGCTGTTTCGAAGTAATAGGTCAATATCACCAAACTTGGCAGCCTGGTTCATACAGCCAGATGCATTCCGATCGGAACCGGTTCGATCTTTTTTCATCTCGCAGCATCTTTTGGTTTTGTGATCTATGCGTTGCATCCCAGCGTTCCATATACTTGGTATGGCAAGTGCGGAGCCTTGTTTTTGTGTGACTTTTTCCAGGTCGACGTTGATGTTGTGAGCAACTTGCTCCCATGGCATATTATGCTTTGTGTACTGCAGGTCATGGTTAGCAATTGTGCGCAACAGAGCAATGCTACGTAATATTCAGTATGAGTGAGAATACTTACGCCGTTTTTGAGACCCTTGATTACTTGATGTCTCAAGAGATCCTTCTCAACTTGCGACCAAGCTAAGCGGGGCGGAGTCTTTGGCCCATTGGTTCGCAGGATAATTTGGTTTCTTCCTCTATTTAAGGCATGGATGGCCTTCTTATCATTCCAATCAAAACCAGCGATGTGAGGATACTCTCTGATACCCATGATGCTTGGGTCCTCGCGAAGCTGACGTACCATGAAAAACTTCGACGTGTCCGGTGTGGCCCAACAAGCAGGCTTCAAATCCTGTCCTGGGACAAATTGCCAAGGAGATATTTGGCGTTTGGTTTTGGAGTCCCCAACTTCGCCCTCGTATTCGTCATCATTACCGTCGTCTAAATCGTTCACATCGGCTCCATCGCGACTAAGGAACAGAAGCTTTTTACCCTTTGATATGTTGTCAGTGTTATCATAACCAAGGTCATCATCTTCCTGCTCTGGATCATCATCTGCAATGGGTAAGGTAATTAGTTCGTTGCCTTGCAAATCAATTTTGAAGGCTGGTGGCACTGCCTCAGGTCTGCGATATCGTGCTTTGAATTTGGCCACTGTCCAATCGGGATTCAACAGAGCTTCGTGCAATATATTCCACCATCTCACTAAGCCTCTGTCTGGAGAGTTAGGTGACGCCATGACTGTAAATGAGATATCTACAATAGCGTGGGCAGCAGCCTTGATTCGTCCTTGTTCGATCATAGGATTAATTTTGACAGCCTCCTTCCATTTGTTTTCCAAAACTGCCCATATGGCCATGGCGACCAAACTCATCTCATAAGCATTGTCGACTTGAACGGCTTGTAAGATTGTGCCTTTTCGCCCCACGAAAACTGGCATTTTATTATATCGGGAAATTGGCATAAAGCCGCCCCAGGGCATCTTCATTCCTTTGCAGATAGTGCAATACTGTCCAATCGCGTGGCTTGTAATATCCCCAGGGATGCATGGTGGGCCAACCTCTGGATACGGTGCTGTGAGCTGTCTCGGCTGATGTCCTGCCTGTATTTATCGGTCAGTATCTACTAGTGAGAAACGTGGTGATATGGTACGGGAAAATGCTATCGTATATCATCCTGATCTCAGCAAGGATAAATGTGTGAGCTTGACGATAGCTTGGAGGGGGACTGTTCGGATGGAAGTAGTCATTATGCAAATATTGGTCTCAACGCATAAGCCAACTAGGCTATCAATATACCGAGATCTATGGCGTTTCCAAATTCCAGATAATGACTGAAGCACCTGATACGTATTGATTTTGTGAAGCGAGGTGGGCTATTTATGATGTGCAATTTTTAGCGGTGAGAGAAATACTGTATAACAGTTCGAAGACGGCGATGAGATCCATGAATAGAGTCTCAAGCACTGAGGTAAGGTAAGGTAAGGGATATGACTGTGATGGTCCATGTTACGAGAGAACGAGGCACAGGGCGTAATGGATTCCACGAGCGGAAGCAACCCAATTGAAGAATCCGCTATAAAAGGTCATGCACATGGAGGACAATGATGGAAATGTGTTGATGCGAGAAACACGCTATATAGATATGCATATGAAAGATGAACATACCATTCTGTTGTTTGTTTGATATCCTCAGAAATCCTGAACATGTATCGATGCGACAAGGAAGCGATCAAAAGTGCAAGCTGGGAACAACGAATCTCTCGTCAAGAACGAAGAAGGAGAGAGGCAAGATAAAGTAATCTTTGCAGTCTTTTGCGGTTCTCTAGATCATACAATCGCGGTTAGTATGTACAAAGAATCAAACAAAGTGTGTAACTTACGGAGTGTATGTTTGTGGGATTGGAAGGGGCCTTTTGAAGCTGCTGGATGCAAACAAGTCGAACAAGCAAGCTAGCAAAATCCAGAATTTCTTTCTGGTAGTGTTGATTGTTAGGATGACAGGCTTTGTCAAAAGCGAGAGCGGCATAAGAACTTGTAGTGATCCATTAATGAAAGCACCCTGCAAGGTTACTTATGAATTCCTGTATCTGGCTTGGAAAGTTGATTATCTTGGCAACAAGAGGCAAAAATCATAAAGTAAACCTGATAATCAAGATATAAAGAAATTTTTTCAAAGTAATCTGTTTATCTGAGGTGTGATTTAAAAAGAGTGAAGGTTGTAGTAATAGAAAGTGATTGTTATTGTCCCAGAAATCAAGAAATCACCGTGTGAATTTCTTTTTGTCAAAGAATATTGCCGGTGAATGATAGAAATCTCACCCAAGTCTTCAATTACTGGATATCAAATATTTCATTAATGCATGTGATCCTGCGTCAAAATACTTCACTCTTGTCTTGTGAATATCAAGATAAATCTTGAAAATTAATACAGCTCGGGTTTAGCCGAGGTTAGGGCCAAATCTCATCTGATTCAACATGAGTTACTGAATTTCAAGCAGTTTTCTGCTTACTGTTGGATAGAGATTTCTGGATAGATTTGTTAGATAGATAGCCTTGTATACAAGGCGGAGATGGTATGACAAGACCTTGATATTCAATAGATGGTTATTTTCAGTTCTCGCATGTGATGGTAGACTTTTTTATAGGAAATTTTTATACCCATCAATCTTATTACCTCTTTGACCGCGAGCCACTAGTCATTTATTTTTCAATCATTCATGGTCTTCAATCTGTATCTCCATCTTCATATTCATCGTTCATTGATTGAAATTCCTACGCCGTCTTCATCTAGATACGTATGTAATGTTTGTTCTCGCAAACAAAGTCTAACATCAGTTGCTATCTTAATTGTAAACTTGCAGGTGAGGCTGTGGTTTGTCCTTAGTGTGTTAGTATCATTTCTTGTTCCCTGATCTCTTCATAAGACCTTGATTATATGGGCTTTCTGTATGTCACCGTATACTAATCAGAGTCTTGAGTCTTGAATAGGAACCACATCAAGCCACACACTCAACTGCCCCGGACTGAAACCCCCTGACTAGGTGAACCCCTTCAGACAATATCTCCTTTATTCGAAGATTTCTACATCATACACAACAAATCCTCTGTTTGAGAGCCTCCACATTCCATATCTCTATAACCTTTATATTCGATAGAAATGATGCACAAGGAGGGGGAGTACTTGATGAATCACGACTGAAATTCCACAACACATGTTTAAGTGGGTCAAACAACAGGCGAGGGGATTAGATCGGGAAACAGCAGGAGCGATGGAACTTGATACGTACATGTATTTCCCTTGGGAATAGTTGCATATCGAGCGTTATTACTTAAGTGGGAAAAGCAAACCGAAGCAGTGGCGAACAACGATGTACAATAGGAGGAATATGGAGAGAAGGATACATAACTTGAACATAATCACTACGATAGACGTTGGTCTTTGGAAGTACAAATCAAGAACAGGATCTCATAAGGAATGGGCAAAAAAGGGAAGAAAATGGAGCTAATACAAGCGAGGCCGCAGGAAAAGGAAGGTACGATGAACTTGAACATTATCTTCTGCCCTCGTAATGCAATTTGCGGATTTTGAAAGCTACAAAAATGTTAAGCTCAGAGATGTAGGCTAAGGAAATAGGGTAATCGGGTAGTACGCAAGGCTGAAAAATTCCTTGAAGATTGGAGACTGCAGAGGACACCTATACTGTGTTCAAGATTCTGGGGGGTTGGATTCTGTTCAAATGATTCTTACTGGTGATATGTCCTCACAGGAAGATAGCTCAAGCTTGTGCACTCTGTAAGACAAATATAACAATACAGGTAGTAAATGTAGTATAGAACCTCTGGGAGAGTAGGTCGATCAGATCTAGAAAATATCAGTTCTAACGTACCGGAACTATTAATTGAAATTAGGGCCAGTCATGAGTCTACGTGCAAAGATATCTTTGGACCTTTATTATACTCACGTTCTGATCATAGATAAAAGTATAAGCTTCCTAGGTGAAGATGCCAGATCGAGAATGCACAGTGCCCAGTAGTGATTATTTCAATTCCATGACATTTTCGGATCGCTTGTTGCTTCAGTGTGTCGCGCTGTATTGCAGCATCTTCTAGGCTTAATGAGGGGTATTCCGACCCCGCAACTACCCTGTAGGCCCTGAAAGTTTGAACTTCCATTGCAACGTTTACTGAGTTGGGTCAAAACCAGGAAACCCTCATCACCATAGCGAATGGCCACAAGCTCGGAACATCGTATATACTGTTATGCCTTCCTATCTTGGTAATATTTGATAAATGAAATTTCAATTAGGCTGTGCTATATGATCCGCTTCTATTTATTGCAGTTCTTCAAGTAGAATCCAGGAATGCAACCCCATTTTAGCACATACCGACCACTTCCCTGCTAGGGCTTTCCTTCCGATCCCACTTCAGTCATAGATTGAAATAGCCCTGGAGACGTAGCTTCCCCCTCAATTTTGATGCGCTGATAATTTCTTTTACTTTGAGTGTTCTAACCTGATTCGAAATCATCTGAGAGCTCCTGCCTACTGAGTGTCACGCTGACTCTTAATCAGTTTGATAGTTTGTAAACAGTGCAAAAACAAGATTCGATAGCGGATGAATATCTAAAGATGCCATAGAATACCAAAATAGATCTGTATTTCAGTTCTAAATTAAAATAGATGTATTTGGAAGTGTCTACCGGTTTAAGCTCAAGATCACCGCAAAGCTCAACATCTGGATGTCTATGACTGTTCGAGTACTTCTGCTCTAGACTAACAACAGCATGATAGTAGATTGTAGCCGTTTGTCAGATAACTTCCAAATCACCATTGGCCACTGTTTCCATAGGAGCAATCATACAAATCAGAGAGCTTGTATTTGGGCTGAGGAAAATATCGCGTTGTTCATGTGGTACGGCCGTCTTTTCTGAGGATGTAGAACTGCTCTAGTTCGAAACGAGCGTTTGGTAAAGCTCTTTTTGTGAATATTGAGAGTATCGCGAGTGTATTGAGAAAGAGTAAGACAGTAGTAGAGATTCTAGTCGACGTAGATTGTGTAAATGGAAAGGGCAACCTGAACAGAGTAGGTTAGCAGAGAATATAAACGGCTAGAGCAGACAGAAGAAAGGGCAGAGAGTAGAGGGAGCACACAATGAAAAGCGCGGGGCGGTATAGCCAAAGTTTTAAAGCGAAAGGGACTGCAAGGAGCAGTATAAAGCCTCAAGCAGATTGGTAGGCTCAACACGGTAGTGCTAAGTAAGTGGTAGGTTCTCGAAGTGAAGAGGTATTGAGACAATGAGATGGCGAGGACCTGGCAAAAACCAAGTGATTTGTGAAGGCATAACGCTAGATAACAGGAGTAGAAAAACGCCTTAGATTTTAGCTTCCGCGCAGTGTTATAGTTGTTGTTAGGAGCAAGGAGAAGAAAATGAAAGCGCGAGAGAGAAGAATCCTCTTCGCTAGATAAAAGAACGAGATAAGATATTTTCGGTTAACGCAAAAACAGCACTAGACGAAGCAAAAATATCAATGGAGCATCCAAGCATAGACTCAAGATAGAGAGTGATTACTGCGCGAGCTATTTTTCAAGATAGAATGCTAAGTATGAAGTTTCTGATTCAAGATCCGACAAGATAAGTCATTACTATAGCAGGCCAAGCTAACGTCTACACTTAGTAGCAAATTGAAGCGCCATCACCGGAATCCATTACTTGCAGAGACATGCATGCAGAAGTTGATGATTGGTCGTATGACTACTAACAAATAGTCTTACAGAAGCGGACAAAATTACCGGCTGTGAGGAAGGGTATTTTAGATGATTGCAAAGGGGGCATCTGGCAAGATGAAGCCAGAACATAACTTCAAGACATCAAAGGTAAGCAGCAAGTCAATAAAAGAGTTTCAAACATCTTACGAATCAACCTGCTGGCTGCATATGTGGCAAAAGTAAAAGCTAACAGGGCATAGTAGAAGTATCGCGGTACGTACAATCAAAACAGATGACTCTATATCAGTGTACACGAAAGAACGAAAGCACGTAAAGTGTACAAAGATCATGTCTGGGTGCTAAAAAGCTCATGGGGGGATAGTAGCTGTAAAAAGTCCCGGTGGGAGAATTATACAGTAAAGACAACAGATATTCTGGCGCTTGAAGTGCGTTTCTTATCACGTTAGAGATGTGACGGGAACACTAGAATGATAGATTTAGAGCTATTTGACTTAGTGTGTACTCTTCTAGCAAGAAGAAGGAAAATTGGGGTCAAGAGACTGGGAAGAACTAGAAGGCGAGGAGGATAGTGGGAGAGTGGAACATATTTGAGTTAGGAAACACAAGATCAGCATGAAGAGTAAGAGGAAATTTGTTGCCAAAGGAGCAGGGGGAGGTAAGAGAGGAGATGAAGACACAAGGATGAGAGAAAATAGGAGAGATAAAGAGAATCAGGGGAGGAGGAAACAATCTGTCACTTTAGGCTGGAGGAGGAGGTTTAGATTCTAATTGTCGTAGCTTTGAGTTGAACATAAACCGTGGGGAGTATACTCTGCTCCGCAGAGTTTTGTGGCCGTAGAGGAATTTTAAATCAGTGACAATAGTTTCTAGCTTTGGCCGAAAGCTTTGGAGTAGGGTTAGATTCAATACGGTAGGTCAGTGAAAGAATACATCAAATTAAGATATTCCAAGCAGGCATACCAAAGATTTTCAGATGTAACTATACATATACAGATATACAAAAGGGCCAAATGTCTCCTCTCCGACCGCTCGTCGATATGGTAAAGCCTTGTACTGAATTATATTACTGATTAGCCTTACCAAGTAGCCTTGTATGACTGACAAAGCGAATTGATCACGCCACAAAACGTAAAAATGCGGTAGAAATCTCTGCCGTAGACCTGAAAATCAGTGATTAATACTTATAGCGTTTCTGTTGTGTCGAAAAATCGACTGTTCGCCGAAGTTGTTCTTAATTGATTCTTTCTACCTCTATTCTGACTGTATTTAACAACGGTTTATCCATAAAACACCTTTTTCTTTTTGCATATTACACAGTTTTCGTATAGAAGATTGCCCGTTGAGATCACCTCTATCTTTTAATATCTCTTGCGACTACAAATAACATAACTTTTGGCGTAATGGAGGGCGAAAATCAAATAAGTGACCACTCGATCGCCCCAAGATCCGGTCTAAACCCAGACGATCCACTACCATCCATCGAGAGCAACGATGCAGGCTCTATACAAGATTTGTCAGCTCCAATACCTCGTGCTAGAGAACGAAGACCACAAAGAGGTGGGTTAATCGGAAGTCAGCGTTATCAAAGAGTCCCCAGTTCCTCCCAAGTCCCACCACACCTTTTGAGAGCAAGAAGAGGCTCCAGTCCCGCGTATGCAGCAGCTCTCAGTCCTTACCTTGGCCCTATAAATCCTCGAGGACATCAAAGACTTTCTGATAATCCAGTACCTGCCATGATGCCTAATCAGGTCCAGATGCCAGAGTCTTACTTGCGAACAGCCAACACTGAGAACACGCAGTCATTGTCTTGGACTCGCAATAATAACACAGCAGGCTCTAATCACCCGACAAGAGCACAATTACAACCAAAACAAGATGTATCTTCTGGTCAAGTAGCTGATCAGACTATGGCAGACCGTGTTCAACATCTTTCTGGAAACTTCCACTATTCAGGTCCTATCAGCTACAATCCACTCACCGAGGCACTCAATCCCCAAAACGCTTCATTCTACCCAACACCGATGTCCCCAAACCCAAGAAAACGTCGTCAAATGCAATCTAATGCTGCTCATCACTCCTCCAATCGGCAATCAGACCCCTCTAATCAAAGGTCCTCTCAACGAGATTCATATATGGGAGGCATGGAATCATCAGTAGATTTACAAGCATTGAGAAGCGTAGCTGTTGGATCAAGTAATGCTACTCAAGGCCCTTGGGGTGTTCAACTTCCTGTATGTATTACGTTTATTCTTCATTCAACCATATGCTAACTTGTAGAAGCAATCCGAAAGAAAGAGAGGGCGCACAATAGGCTCCAAGAACAACAACACGGGCTCTACAACTATGCAGCCCCCACCACCGCGATCAGTTACTCCCAGTCGTCCAGAAAGAAGTCCCGTTCCGTCATTTGCTGTAAGTGTCTGTTGATGAATCCTCCTACCTCTCAATCTCTAACTTCTTTCTCCTTAGATCCCGGTAGCTCTCAACGAACAAATAGCTACACCACATTCAAAGCGTGAAGCTAATTTCAGTCTCGTCAAAAATGCTGCTGCGATGCTTGATCCGTTCACCAAAATAGTTCCAGGTACTGTCAAGCTAGTAGCGGATAATGGTCAAGTGTGGGAGTACAAGTATGCGGGAACTAGACGAAATTGGAAGAAAGGTCAAGGCGGAAAGGTCACTGTCGCAAAGCTCAACGAATGGGCAAATTCTATCTTACGTCGCAGACTTCCTGGAAGCTTTCCTCCTGCTGCAAAGAAAGGAGTCTATTCTGCTCCTCCTCCACCCAAGCCAAAGAATGATAAGTGGACAGAGTGGGAAAGAGCATTCCTAGAGGCACATATCCTGGACGAAGTAAAGGCAAAGAAGGCCAATCTAGACGAAGAAGATTGGCAACTTATCGCAGAAGCCCAGAATGAGGAGTTTTCTGGCCATAAGAGACTTCCCAGATTGCCTATGGCACAACTTACCTCGCGTAGTCTCACCATTGATGATGTTCCGGTCATTAGAGGTGGGGGCTATACTAAGACCGAGGGTTATTTTCCAGAGCGCTCAAGCTCGGAGATTCAGACCATCCTCTACCATTGGCCTGATATTCATGAGAAAATTAAGCAAGTGATTAGGAGACATCGTGGAAAAATTCCAACTTATGTAGATTGTGACACCGATATCAGTGATTCGGAGCGTACGTCAGATGATGAGAATGGAGATAAGAAAGCAGATGCAGCTGATATTGGTGCTTAAAGGCCTATTTCTGAGGATTCATGGCCATTTTGACGAGTAATTTGAGCATTATCGGGGGTTGTTCATAGGTTTTTAGAGGATTAGCGTGGATAATATGAGCATTAGTACTAGAAAATAACAAGCGATGTTTAAGAAAATTCCCAAATGATCATTATGATGTCTCGCAGCTTCTCTTTGATATCTATATAACCCTAAATATGCACATTTTAAGGTAGGAAAACCTACTAATATAGACTAAAGACTGATTGTTAACTCACTGATACAAATAATTAGCTAGAATGATAGATATTTAAGAAGAAATAGATGTAAAGCACTTATGAAATTAATTCCAATCTTCATTATACACTCTCTCAAACTATAATTTACTATAAAGTGTGTTAAGGTGAATCGTTTTTCCAAGAATTTTCCGGAACTATTCCGGTCTTTCCGGCTTTTCTCTCTCCCAACAGACTTCTTAGAAATTTGTAACTAGAGGATGAATTTGATCATTCAATTTTCTAGTTGTAACATGAGATCATTCTCGTCTTTTCAAAACTTAAAATATTTTTTCATCTCGAGACATATACTAGTACTCATCTTAAGAATCAAAATCATAGTCTCTTTAAATTAGAATACAGTCTATAGTATTTACTACTCCTTCAATATTATCAGCCTTTAATATACAACTACTATAACTATCTTGAATTCATATTTTCTCAAATCGTTTCAAGATATAATCGAAATATAATTCTTTACTTAGTATATGTATACTAGTTGTACAATTAGACTACACTCATCTAGTAAGACGTCAAAGTTCGTACAGATCTCGATTTATATCGAAATTTGTAGGCGTTTTTGAGACAATAATCTATACTTAGAATATAGAAATTGAAAATATGTCTCATTATTCGAGAATTACTAGCTTATAATGTGTAATTCTTATGTTTCTTGTCAAAATATATAACTACATTTCTTTTAAAGACAAAGTTATACTAAACTTATAGTCTTTATTATATTTACTCTAGTTCTATAATCAATCTATTCTCGTCTATTGATTAGAGTCAAAACTATGATTGTATTTAACTTTATATCGTGATATAGTACTAATATTTACTCTAGTATTCTAGACGATTACTCGTATTAAGAAGAATATAGTCTAGTGTATCTATAGTAATCATTTAGAAATTATTAGTTTATATCATCTGATTTCTACAAATGATTTGATTATATATACTCGTATATTATTAAAGAATGAAATTCCATTAGAATTAAACACTTTATTTGTTATACTTCACGTATACTGTTTGTACGAGAAGGATACGGAAGACGTAGCACCCACGATATGTGGGTCCTAATTGTCTAATTGTATTCTGTCTAAAAAGCTAGCTATGTACAAGAGATAGTAGGCCTTATATAGACCTACTGAAAGAGCTAGTCTCTTCTTTCTTCGCTTAAGGCTTTGTTACAATAGCCTTACTACAGTAGTGATTGAATTGAAATCATTCATTTTGTTCACACATATACAATTAGATTATTCTATTCTAAATATAACTTCCGATAGAGTATGCTACGAAGTATAGGCTAGAATATGAGCGCATTAAAAAAGTTGAATGAACTAAAAATTTCGACTAGCTACGAGGACAGGACCGCAAATACAGATCATAACTCGTACTGATTGCGTTAGCTCCCTTTGCTCTAGCAGGATAAAAATCACATCTTTTAAGATATACCTGAAACTACTATATCTGTATGAAAGTAGGTGAATGACATTAGCTCATTAGGCTAATGCGGTATACTCATCGGGAGGGCTAGTCTCAAGTATGAAGATTGTTCCTTCCTATACATAGCTAGCTCTTTAGATAGAATAAAATATTGACAATTAGGACCTAAAATCGTAGGTACTACGTTGTGTATACTCTGCTTAGACTAATGATATCAGGACGAGGTATTATTTGTGGTAGTAAAAGGGTTTCAGAGCATAATCTACAATCATTCGACTTTTCCAATGATTTGGTTGAGTTCTGTTGAATGGATTTACTTTCCTCGTGTACAATAGCTTAGCAACAGTTATCAAGACATATATCTCAATTGATTCAATAGTCTTAATACAATAGTCATTATAATGCAAGCCTTAATATACCTAAAATAAATTCCAAAATCATATGAAACGACTCAAGCTCCAGCAAGCTGATCATGCATTATAGTGATTTTGATTAGCTATATATCTGATTATATAAATAGCAATCACACGAATCTGAATTATATGATCGAAAATTCAATCAATCGAAAGTGAGGATGAGAGCAGTGCTCGTAATGGGTGGGTCGGGTTATACGGTTAGATGGGGTGAATCATGAGTGAGATTGAGTCGAGCAGTATGAAATGGTGATCCATGACTGATTTTCTGGGTCGGTTTTTGGCTCAAAAGCTTTGTAGGTGGAATGGGTCACTATATTATTGAATGTAACGAATATTACATGCCTATATGATTACTCATCATGCTACTCTTAGTCTAAGACTAGCTTGAACTAAGCGACCTTTTATTGTAAAAGAGATGGAGAAATCCTTAAGTATCTCTTTTCTTTTTAGCTTTCTTATTCTGATTTCTTTAACCTTTATCGATACGATCTAGGATGTGATCGCAACCAATCAATAGGCTGAATCACAAATGAGCTAACAGCCTATTTTGGAGTAATGGTTTAAGTTGAGTTAGTGAAAGAAGGTACGGAACCTACCGATTGCGAGTACTGAATAGAGGATGAGCGCGTAGTGCACTCTATCGTCCTCGAGCCAGCCCCATTCGAATTTCAGGCTCTTTGTGAATTTACCACTCAATAGTCTTGTACATAATAGAGAATTGAACTATTATTTCATTCGTCGACACACGAATCACGCGATAATTTTGGCGCTGTCACGCATCGGACACATCAATCACAGTGCGAAATCTCATACGCGCATGCATGTATTGTTAGTTTATATATGCACTCTATAAGCGCTGAGCTCACTCTTCAATTATAGGTTCCGAGGATGATCTGTATTCCGTTAAGTTAGTCCTTCTACGGCAAAGTATTACAAGCTCATCGCTACTACAGCCAGTGCTCACAATGAGCGGTTTCCAAACTTTCTTTTTCAAAATGCAATAAAACCCGCTGATTTAAAGAGAGCTATTAGGCAACTCATTATACAGTTCATGATTGATCAAAAGATAATTTATCAAAACCCATTCAGCAATCCACCAGACTACCATCTCACCCTCCTTTTTTTTTTTTCGTAAATAACAACAACAAAAGCAACAACACACCTCCAGACTCGTCAACCCAAATTTTCTACACACAATCAAACAATCAAAAACTCTTAAAGACCCCGTACCATCCACTGCTTCATCTTCCCTTCGTTCAAAGACACTCGCTCTCGCAAATGGGGATCTTTTCTCCATTTCTCCTCGATAGACACACAAGCAATCATGAACGCGATAGGTGATTCATATACATCTAAAAAAGAACTCTGAGAACTTCGAAAACCCGGTCATTCGTAAAACTTACATGCTGTGACAGTTCACCGCCAGTGTCAAGCGTTTTCGTAGGCTCCTCCAATGTCTTCTCCTTGAGAACTTCTTTCAATATTCGCCATTGCTTTTTCATCCTTCCTATATCTTTACTTAACATACCAGGATCTCTGCTTCCTGCGGAGAAGGCTCCTTTCGATTAAACAGCTTACAATTCTAAGGAGAGAAAGAACTGATGGGAGAGTCATTAAATATATCAGTCTTGAATATTCTACAAAGTAATAATAGTAGAAGGTAGTAGGCATTTCACTATTCAGTATTGACTAATCACCTATGGTCAATATATAACAAGATTGGCATTCTCGCACAGCGCCTTCATCAGGGTGATACACTCTAGAGTAGACCGACAATACTCAATATACTACGTTATCCTTTACGTAATGTATGTACCGATATCCTATCATACTAGAAACTAACCCGCGTAGTTTTGATATCTAGGAGGCAGGAATGACTACGATCAAGCTTCAAGTGAATCCGGATTATTATTCTTTTTACCATCCATTCTCAGCTTAACGTGACTAAATAACAGAGGTATTCTTGGAAATAAATATTTAGTTGTGACTTGAGGTATATCGATATCTACTCTATCGCCACGTAGTAACTTATATTTAGAATATTATGATCTGATATATGAATAATTTAGTAATCAGGCGTTAATTTCCTCTTCACAAGCTGACTTTGACACCGCTCAAAAGACATGTACATAGGTTCCAAAACTTAGATCCTGTCAAGAGTTTTTGAGCTGCATTGAGCTGAATAAGTGTCATTTATTCTAAAAAGATTCTGAAAAATGAAACGGTTCTATTGTGTCCGAGGGCGTGGGTGACCATGACCCCATAAGGGGTCTTGAAATAAGCTGTCGAATAAGAGAAGAGGGATATATCACGCTATTTCAAGAAAGGCACTTTATAAGGGTGAATCTGTTCATTTCAATGCAATGAAAATAGTGCAAGGGCCTACTCTTGCTGTTAAGAAAGAAATGAATATTCTACTCGCTCAACTTCCGCAATGCCACAATCTAGCCTCTACGCACACCTGGCGATACATCCCTGGTTCATTCAATCATGCTTACATAGCATTACTCACACACCCCGTCTGATCTATCCACATGTATATCCACATCTCATAAGAGAAGAGAAGAAAAAAACCTCTTCCTAACCCCTTAGTTGGCAGCAAGGTTTTGCTGGAAAAATTGGGTGAGCTTGGCGAAGGGAATTAGCTCGACGCGGTCGTAAAGATCGACATGACCTGCGCCCGGAATCCAGACTAACTCCTTTGGCGAGCCAGCACGCGCATAGGCATCCTCGCTGAACTCACGCGAGTGTGCCTGATCGCCCGAGATGAAGAGCATCGGGCGTGGAGAGATGGTTTCGATATCGTTGAAGGGATAGAAGTTCAAGAACTTGGTTTGGCTTGCAACAGTGGGATGGGTGGTGAGGTTTGGCGTTGTCGTGAGTGGGGTGAACTCACCACGAGAGGTGCGATAGAAGTCGTAAAACTCGCGGTCAATGGGGGTTGACTCATTAGTGAGCACGTTAGGTGTGCCGCCAGTGACCGCAACTTCTGCCCCGTCAACCTCAGCCCAGCGCTGCTCCGATGCACGTGAAATCAATTCTTTGCGCTGCTCAAGGGTCTGGGCGTGACGCAGCCCATTGCGGCTGACTGAGCCCATGTCGTACATACTTGATGTGGCAATGGCCTTGATGCGAGAATCGATTTTGGCGGCGCTGATAACGAACGAACCGCTGCCACAGACACCAATCGCGCCGATCCGCTCGCGATCAACAAAAGCCTGTGTGCCCAGATAATCCACTGCCGCGCTGAAAGCCTCGGCATAGAAGTCTGGCGATACAGTGTTCATTGGCTCACCCTCGCTAGAGCCCCAGAATGGAAGATCGAGCGAGACAGTCACAAAGCCCTGCTCAGCCATCTTCGTGGCATATAGGTTGGCACTCTGTTCCTTTACTGCACCCATAGGATGACCGACGACAATGGCCGGCGTACTGGCGGTCTGGTTGTTGCGAGCAAGATCGTTGGGAATGAAAATGTTTCCCGCGACAGAAGTTCGAAATTGGGTCAGGAAGGTGATCGACTGAACCGTTACCTGATCACTGCGATACCAGTTGTCGGCCCCATAGGACAAGTTTTGTGCCATTGCAAGCGAAATATTAGCAATAGTGATGCTGAGTGCAGCAATGCTGACGCCTGTCTTCATGATGATGCTTTTTTCTGCGAATTAAGTCTGAGAACGAAGCTTCCTGTTGATGTGAGTGACAAGATAGTTTCTGACAAAGGGACATATCGCTGGTCTTATAGTGGATGAGTTCAGCAACGAAGCTTTGCACTGCCATGGCCTACTTGACGTATGCTACGTCACAAGCAATGTTATGCAATACTGTAAGGTTTTTTCAAGGGATTAGAGATACACTGCCTCTACAAGGTATTGCAGGACGCGTGTTTCTATTAACCTTTAACCATCTAAGACACAAATGCAATTGGTTGCAAACCTTTACTTGTGGGTTGATTGTCCCTATATCCGCTTGCGTTGGTCTCTTGCCAAGAAATATTTAATTTATGACAAGCTCCGAGAATAATCCTATCTCGAATACCTGTCAGTTTCTTTTCAGAGTGTTGATCTCGATCGGTTTACATGTTTACTTGGGGAAAATGATATGAAATTCTGGCAAGTCGCCGCTGTAGGTAAAGCTTCTGAGACATGTGTATGTCCATTTGAAGATCAGGAAGAATTCATCTGGACTAGCGGCGACCTCATAGTTTATACAACATAAATACTGTTCTTGCTGATCGGACGGAGAGGGAATAAATCTCAGCCGTTTCGTTACACAGAAACCTGGTTCTTTGAACAGTAGATGACGTTATCCTGAATCTCAGCGTACCTGAGGGTAAAGAGCCGGTACCATCCCCCTGAATAATTCTAATTGTAGAAGCCCAGTTTTACATCCCCTGTGAGGAGTATATCAATTATCACGCCGAGTCTAAGGCTATGCTACCTACGATATGCAATAGGACGAATCGAGATTTCGGTACTGCTGGAGGTAGTTAATGATTGCGTCGTACATCTGAAAGTTCACTTGCCGGCTCGCTTACCACATATAGACCCTCTGTCGGTAAACTCTCCGGAGTGGGGCGTAAGCAGTCTGCATTAGTGCGACCAAATTCTACTTGGCACGATCGGCATGATAGATAGGTAAATAAGACCTTACTTTGACTTCATCAACACGAGCTTCAGTAAAGGCTGTTATCCAATCAATGAATCAACCGAGAATCGGGACAAGAGACTCCAGAATTGAATCAATTGAATAAGTAAATTGGTGTGACGGTAGTAATGATGATGATAATGATAGTGGGCAGCCTTTCAAACTGTCAATTTGGTTGAAGTGGAATTGATTAGTAATCGACCGTGATTATGCCGGGCACGTGCGATAGTAACTAGCGGCCGTCAAGAAGCTAAAAGAGCGGGGAAGGGGTGCATGGACATCGCCACTAGCGATCGATTGCAGATACCAAAATTTAAGATGAGTTGTTCGCTGATGCAACTTCTTTAACTGAGTCGAGAAGACTGTTGGATATAATCTCTATTGCTCAATTACAAAAATATCAATCACGCCGTTCGCAAAGTCTTTCGTCCGCACAACATGGAATACAATACAAGACGTCCAGAAGAAGGTGGAGAACTGGTCGGAAGCGTGTTATTGGGACGGATGCCACAGCAAGCAGAAGTACGATTTGCGGAGGATGATTGGACGGGCAGTACAGATGCTGCTGAGCGAAGGAAACGTCAGAATCGGTTGCATCAAAGACTTTATCGTAAGCTCGACAAGCGGACAAATATCCTTGTGCATCTACATCCTGGCCTCGGCCGAAACCCTTGGAATGAGTGTCTTTAAATCATGTTTATATTCTTATGTTTTTTCTTAGGGAGACGACAAAAATTATTGAGCATGCAATCAGCCCCTGCAGGCCTGGTTATGAAAGAAACGGAACCATTGGAACCGGAAATTGATCCACACTTGACTACCCTCCTCGAAGTCATCAAACAACGGAAGCAACCCCACGATCCTGCAGATGCCGTTTCCCCTGGGCAATTTACTGAATACGATTATAAACAAATTTTAACTTCATCAGACCTGACGCCTCCCCAGGTTCAATACATTCTTACACAAGTTGAGCAGTGCATTTCTCGTCAGCGCATGTCCAGCTTTCCCCGCGCCGACCTCCTTCTCACTCTAGTTCAGTTCAACGTCTTTCGTGCTTTGTTTAGCAACATGGTTGCTTTGGGGTTCAATCTTGACTGGCTGACGGCAGATGCAATTTCACCATTTTTCCAAAACACATCACACGTTTGGGACACGAGCTGCCCAGCCAGTCTCTGTCCAACCCCACTTCAACGTCAAGTCTCCCATCATCCCTATTTGGACCTGTTTCCTTTCCCAGAATTAAGAGATAATATGTTAAGCAAAGGTGAAGATTTCGATGACGACGATCTTTGCCATGATCTCGTTGAAGTATGTCATGCTCCGTCTGAAAGGAGTGGTCTTATCGTTTGGGGCAGTCCTTGGGATCCATCCAGTTGGGAGGTCACCACAGAGTTTGTTGAAAAGTGGCCTTGGATGTTGAGAGGTTGCAAAGAGCTCTTACACTCAACAAACTTCTGGAGGGGTAAACGCGGAGAAGAGGAGCTGTGTTCTGATATCACGCTTTCTGAAAGGGTGCATTCTTAACTTTGGCGTAGAGCATTGATTGCTGCCTGTGCCCCCCACATCTGAGTAAAGGCAAAACAAGACGATTAGATTCAAAATCTCCCCCCATCAACGGAATTTAAGCATTGAAGACAGGCCTATCAGAAGTCCCTCAGTATATAATATGTGTCGGGAATATTTAGATCGTCTGCACGGCCCCACGGCCAGTCGTCAAATCCGGAAAATTGAAAGTTACAGTACAAGCGGCGATATATAAATTCACAACCTCCCCTATGGCAGAAACAAGCCTTCGTCCACAGGGGCTGCTTTCATCTGATCCAGCTGAATTTCTTGGATCAGCTCATTCCCAGGATAATCATCAACGTCCAAGTCCAGATACCCTGCTGGTGCCCACTTTCCAGCCGAGACAAAGAGTGATCTGCCGTTAATTGTTCGATCAGACAAGATTCGTAACAGAGCACTTGCTGCATCTCCTGCTTCCGCAAATTGTACCCCGCACTTTTCTACGTGCGCGAAAGCTTCCGCAGATAATATCGACGTCTTGACGTACCTATCGTCAGATTAGCAATATGAAGTTTGAGTTCAATTGAAGATTTGAGTACCATGGAGAGATGACGTTGACTCGGCTGCCATGGTAGAATGCTGTCCTTCGCAGAGAATGCATAATACCGCGTGCAGCCCACTTTGTGCTCGGGTATACAGGTCCACGAAGGCAGTCCAGAAACGCTGCCCCAGATCCGATCAGCACTAAGCATGTATCCTCTTGCTGGGGTGATGGCTTCTCCCCATTTTGTTCTACAAAGTAGTGAAGAGCTAGTTTGGTGGTGTACAATGTCCCTTTTAGATTGACATCAACTGTTTTCAGATTTGGTTCTGTGGGCTCCTGGCCCTTGCCTATAAATTCATTTAGCTGAGTTTTGGCGGTGTAGATAATCTATTGCTTGCCTGCGAAAGTAAAAACTTCATCAGGAGCACATATGCCTGCGTTAGCGATAACATAATCCACCTTTCCCGTAAAAGATGCAGCTTCAGCAAAAAGACGACGCTGATCTTCCCAAATGGTCACATCACACTTCACAAATTTTGCGCTCAAGTGATATTAGCTCCAGATCCGAAGAAGAATGGAAAAACAGAGTCTTACCGCTCAAGCTCCGATGCCAACTTCGAACCACCTTCGGAGTCCATGTCCCCGATGCATACATTGACGCTATTTTGATCATGTTAGGAACATAAAGAATCTCTGATATTAGCCACCTACCCTGCAGCAGAGAGCGCCCTTGTATATGCTTCACCGATTCCATTTGCACCTTGACTTGGTCAGCACATTTTGCTGATAAGAAATATTCCCTCTTACCTCCGGTGATGACGGCAGTCTTTCCTTTCAAATTATTTGCATCAAGTGTTTTCGTACAATCTACTGGGGGAGAGAGTTTGTAGCCTTCCATGTCTGATGAAAGTAGGAAACGTGAAGAGGTAGAAGTTAACTTATTTTCAAGAATTGAGATAGCAGAGACGGAGAACTAAGACTTGAAACTCTTTCAAAATTCAGCCAAAGGTTGGGGCAGATGTCGATGCATTTATACCACTTACGAATCATGTATCTCCGCCATGCACGACTCCTAGTCTACCTATATTCGCGATTAAAGGACCACTTCCGTTTCTGCAGCTTGCTTACGATGATGCAATCCACGTGATCTAGAAAATTTCCCCAGCAAAAAAGCAAATGCCAAGACGTCTGCTCCATGATATCATACTGGTAACGCACGCATATGCTATGTCCTATGTATCACTACATTTCTATTTATCTGCGATTTCCATTCACACTCAAAACCTCCTTAGCTAATACCTTTTCCCTATCAAGCAAAGACTGCTCGATATCCAGCGGTTTTCCTTCCCAGGGGGCCTTGCTTAGCGCTGCACTTAGCACCATTGGGGATAAGCCAAGTCCGAGCTAATGCACTCTGCTTATGGTCCTTGCGAATTAAATGCCTGAGTCCTGTGCCCAAATACCAAGGCATGTGTGCATGGATGCCAATCTTTGAATCACTGAACGACAAATTACTCGCAATTTATTAGCCTTTATGGTCAATTCATGCGATTCGGGGTTATGCTTACAGGTATATTTCCTCAACGCCGTTTCAAAAAACAGTCGATGTGAGCAAGACTTACTACAGAATTTAGAGCTGCACGACGAGCGTTTTTTACGACAATAGGAAGTTAGAAGAGCATTACTGGAAGATTTAACGTTCTTGACTACTTCTAGATTTCATCTAAGCGTGGAAAGAGTCTGCAGTGTCTTGAATCATGTCAAAGAATTCCCTCATTGAATAATGAGTGGAACTTAGCAAGATGAACACGTTTTGTCGAGATGCTACTTTTGATTTGAGACATCGCCGTGCCCTGTTTATTCTAGCTACAAGTTCTCGTTGAAGAATACATGATTCTCCTTCTTAGTAACTAGGTGCTCTATATTCTCTTTCCTCTAACGGACCTGTTTATGGAAAGACAACAGAATGCGTTCCCCAACCCAAATGTATGGAGGAAGTGTCATCTTTGCAGCACTCAAATGTCATGCTGAAGCTGAGAGCCGACTTTTAGAGCGTCATTCAAATTTTGTTCTTCGCAGAATATTGATCTGATTCCTACAATCTTGCCATCAATTTAATTAACAGCTTCGGTAGCCGGGGATGAAACTGAACCAAGAATGAAAAATCCATTGATCCTTTCACAAATCAAAGTCTTTGTATCCAGCTGAATAATTCCTGTTCTTCTTTTTTGAACAAAAGACCCTATAATAACTTAAGCACGAAAAGTTTGACATTGCAAATCAACAGCTCCATTCATCTAGCAGCCCAAATGATCCGCATTGCTCAATACTGCATCTGAATCATGGCATCCACAAGGCTTAAAGCAACTGTATATATCCCATTGCTCGCACGAGCACAGCGTGAGCTCATCATGAACACCACAGCCTGGAAACGCATATGTTTTATAGAGTCGAGAGTGATATTGAAGCAGAAGTATTGATTATAAGCCTTACGGTTGTTTATATACCGGTTTAATCGAGCTCGAACCTTCCGTAACAATCAACGCAAACCCCTGGCAATACTCGAACAATTGTACCAGCGGAAACGCAATTTACAGAACACTGACATTCGCTGGAAATCTTTGTGGGAATTACTTCATCGAGTCTTTTCCTAATGAATTCTTGATTTAGCCTCATATAATCATCAGGAGCTCGCAAAACCAAGGAACTTCAGCGTTTCATCATCACGCAGGCTTGATGTGACTTGCTCATAATGATCTCAAAATCCAGAATTCTCTACAACCTTATAGTAGCTATTCATGAAAGCTTACTGTCAAAGAAATTTACTTTTCTTTTTTAAAAATGTGATCGATTTCGTGAACTTGTACAATTTTCCATAATGTTTTAAGCGAGTGCTGAAAGTCTAATGAATGTGTATTATAACGTCGTTAGAGTATCAGTGTTTTGCCTGATCTCATCTATCGCAGAGCCACAGTTTCTGCTATTACTATAGTCTGATGTTGCATAATTCAGATAGACAATATCAGTGATACCGTGATGGACATTCAGGGGTACTCGTCTAACGAGAGCCGAATAATGACACATCCGCACGTGATTTACAATCCTAGCCTCATATTCACTCAATAATTAATTGATACGAAGTTCAATTAGCTTGTACAGCCTCTTTATTTAATTCTAGACGGCTCTGAGCTTCTTTCTTTATCTTTTCGGCCTCAAGAATCGTCAAAGGCAGATACCAATATCCACATCTAATCAGGGTAAATTCCCCTTCAGTATAAGGTCATCTACATTTGCTTGTTTGTCAGTACTCAGACTAACAATAACTCTTAGAATAGTCGTCTACCAGCATACACACCCCCTCAAGAAATTGCTTGGACACTTCAGCAGCAGGAAAATCTCCCACCATTCCCTCGCGAAATGAATACATCACTCCCACCTTCTCTGCGAAGCAAGCTTGGCGGAAAGCGCGATTGGACACTCAAACCCAGACAAGACCTCACGCCAGCAATGATCGGATCACAGGAACCCAACAAAATGCGAATTGCACTGCTCAGTGTGACAGAAGCTGGCTTGGGTCGAGAGGTCTACTACGATCGGGGTTATGGCAATGGTGAGCCATTCGACTGGAACGATTCGAGCGACATTTTCCTCTTGAACGACTGGAGACGAGAGAAAATTCGCAAATACACACCTAGAGACTTGGTACAGATAGAAGGCACAAAGGATGTCGGAAATCGTGTTATCGAGAATAAGGTTGTCAAGAAGCCAAGTGTTCCCAGGGCGACAATGAAGCAGCCTCCAAAACCGCAGATTGCCCAAAATCAAACGTCGACTAGACTCCGAGAGCATGTAGAGCCCAACAAAAATATTGATGAGGAGTTTATCACAATAGTCGCCCGCAGCAGAGAGATGGAGAAATTCCGTGCTCAGAAGCGCAGAGCTGCACGCCAGGTAACACCAAGACTTGCAAATGGTCGTCGCCAGCACCCATAGAGTTTCTTCCTATCGATCTCGAAAGACTTGATAGCTTGACACCAAAGCAACAGCGACGCGATCAGAACTCGCACGTCAAAAACTGGTTTGTTATCTTTGAGATGATTGAGAGATCTTTCGACCTACCGAGCCGGGAGATTGGAGTCGAGTATAATCTCTGAGTTTCTCTGCTTGGTCTGACTTTTGAAGTGCATCTCTTGATGATATTCTCTGGCGTTTTTGGCAACTTATATAAGGTACCGAATAAGTTTCAACAAAAATTGTGCCCCGCAGTCTTCGACTGACTAAATTTGATATTACTGCCACATGAGAGGACCGACTTATGAACTCGCAAAGGAATGGGAAGTGGAAAGATTTCCGTGGAAATTGGCTTATTCTGCACAGTGGTTTATATTTTTGGTATTTCAGTATGGGGTTTAGATTTGCAATACAAAGCATGATAAACGTCAGATTCCCAATTTGTTGTGAGAGTTCATTCCTTTGCAACTTTTTTCGCATCTATTGTCTTTCGTCAGCCTTTTGAGCTAAACTATGCTCGAAATTCCAACCTTCTAGAATGTATAAAACTCTAGCTAATATGAGCAAATCTCTATTGGAACTTCTACTGATCAACAATGCTTATCATAGATGCGGATCTAGCACTCGGTCTCTAAATGTCTTAAGTAGTTCAGTTTATGCCCCTGCTGAGCCGCGAATTCAGACCTGCTCTCTTATTACAGATCCAAGTGACTATACCTCGTCCCTAGAAGATGTGAACAATGTTTGTCCATCTCTTGCGCCAAATCCATCAATTTGAGTCACCATATATTCCACGCCAGCATTCCTCTAACCTGCCAAAAATCTACCTCAAATCCGGCAACTCAAGCTTTGGCGAGACTATCGCGATGTCGATGAAAGTTTATGGAGATGAGTTAACACAAATATATTCTCACACATAGGGGAATCCTCGTTAAATAGTTCAATTCTAAAGATCAAGAGGAACGCCCGTCCAGGGCACGCTAGATCCATGTTCCAAACAATGGGTTCTCAAAAATAGATGAAAGATAGCTATTTGCCATGGTCAATTAGACGTTCGTCTTCAGTCTGAAGTAACAACACGTCTAAGGGTAGAGGAATGCAGCTGAAGTAGCGGTAAAAACGCTATATAATCTGCATAAGGAGCGGCAGAGGGAAGAAAGGAATATTTGTGACCTGTAGACAGAATTGACAGAATCTTCACGGTGATACATAATCAACTGAATCTTTTGGATCCTCCTAGATTTATAGCCACGTAGCCTTTACTTGATATTGAATTTAGTAGTTTCAATGCTTAATAGTATTCTGGTGACATGGTAAGTTCACGGTCAGTTTATCACGATTTTTTTCGGTCAAGCTTGGGTGATGTACATGCTTTATTTTTCAACGCTGAATCATGATCTAATAATTCTTAATTTTCCTCAATCTCAATTTTCCCGGAACCCATCGACGAGAATACAAGGCCATAAACTTTTGTCCCAAAGAATCCGCTACTAGCCTCATGTTATAAACTCTTGCTGTCTCATAAGAAACCCAAAACAATCAAGCCCCGCCCCAACAAAATTATAGACTGAAAGATCATCTCTGGATGATAATTTTTCGTGAAAAAAGTAGAAGTGACTCCAGATATCTTGAGAAAGGAATGCGTCGAGATGTGATAGGTGTTACTGATCATCGTCGAAAGAGGAAATTCTTGACTTCTTCGCCGACAATGCAAATGCAGCTGTCGCATTCGTATCCTCCATCTCTCGCTTTCTCTCATTCTGTTCTCTCATGTAGTCATCTTTCAATCTTCTGACGTCCTTACCGTTAACGAATTTTTTGATTTGCTTTTTGTTCCGATATACTCCGAGGGTGTCGTTAAATTCTTTAGTGACCGACGAAAAATCCACCTTTGAATAAGTTTTTGTGCGAAGACTAGTTTCATCCAGTCGCTTGATCATTATGTTCCCGAGTTTGTATTGTTCCTCCGAAGACCAAGCACAATTAAAACCGAGCCCTGTTTTCTTTCCTTCTAGAGGAGCCCCTGATGTCCTGTGTAACATTATTTGACGCCATTGGTTAAGCGCCGTAACAGCATTTCGTGAGTTCCACTTCATTTTCGGTTTGTATTCAAATAGAACTCGGTCCAATTTAAAGTGTTCAGGGATGTCTTGTTTCGGCTCAGTGATTAAACTTATGTACTGAATAATGGTCTTGCTCTTATCCGGTTTGTGAGGTTCTGCCTCTGCACGGTCGTTGTTGTCAATGTATCTGATTCCTTTCCATTTGAACATTCGTGGGAGACTCTAGAGTTGATAAGACTATTAGTGACTATTGAAGTAGATCTTTGAAGCCATACTTGATCTCCCTCATAATCTTCCACTTGAATTGATTCCTCATCCACCTCAATGTTCATTCCCTTCTTTAGATTCTTGTACTCTGCTAGGATCCTCTCCAAGCGGTAGTCATATCGACAAATATTTTGGATACTTTCAATACTCCTTTTTGGTGCATAACGATCATCGTTTAGTTTATCTTTGCCATCTTTTCTAAGAGCGCCCTTCTCTTGTAAGCGACCCGCACAGCGATGATTAAACTCTTCAGTAACTGACTTCAAAATGTCTGACATTGGTCGTGTTCCTGTGAAAGATTCTGTTGTGTAGCCATTCAAGATTTCGCATAAAGTATCTATCTCATCAAGTAGCCAGTACGTGGAATTATTCGCAAATGTATTATGTTTTGGCTTCTCTGGCATGTCTTCTTTCTGTTTTAATTCGACTCCGACAAAACGCCCCCGAGAAATTGGTAAGTCGCCCGCTTGTTTGGCCATTCGGAGGGCTTTGAATCTTTACTCCGTGATAAAAATAACGATCTTATCAACACGGGATAAATCTTTGATAACCTTTGTTTCCTGTAGTGATGACTTGTTGAAGATTTGTTTCGTTGTGAGATGGAGTTCATTCATTATCAGGGCCACCATATGACTCTTCGCGCTTTCTCTTCTTGGAGATGGGTCTCTGTAGAGTTGGAACGGGAGTTATGACCAGACCATCTGCACTTTCCTGTGAGCTCATCGAAATAAGAGCCTTAGCCGCCTTTGAAGATCGAATTAGCGTGATTTCATTCGATTGGAATTTAAATACAATACCTCAAATATCTCTGCTTCTGCTGCATTTCTCACAGATGTTACTTCCCCGCTATTCTCAACATTGGCATTCATGCTTTCAGGAGATGCTGTATCATCGTACTGTCCCTGAGCAGATTGTCTTATTCCAAGTCTCGTGACGACCTGTCTTTCATGATGTCCCCATCTTGCCCATCGATCTAATTCTGCCTCCGCTTCATCTTCATCAAGATTTTCTAGATATGGCGCTAATCGACAGAATTTTCTCCGAATCTGGAGATACATATCTGGCCGACGTACAGGGCTCAACTTGGTGATTTTGAGCATATCCGCGCAAAGTTTTGTTGCTTTTCCAAGAGTGAAGACTTTATCTTCATATCTAGAAAATAGTATGAGGTGGCGCACTATATCACGGCAGAAAAAATTGCGATTGAACGCATACGAAAGGTCGCGAACTGTAAGCATTTCAAATTCGTTTAAGTCGGTACCGTCAATGAGCTTGAGGTTGAAAGGATGAAACCTTTCTGCTGCACCAGCAGCTTGAAGAATCCTGCCCAGAGATTCATCGTCGTCAAAGTCCATCGTGTCAAATAGTTTGTTCCAACGAGAATATTTCTGGTCTAGTACTGGATTATTCCAGCGAGGATAATCTAGGTCAAGAAAAGGTGATGCCATGTTGTGCAAGCTTCGCAGACTATGGAAGATCTGGATCACTTTTTCGATAAATTAGTGTATGTGTTGTGACTTAGAACTAGCTCTGCAAAGATGGGGCTCGAAATGAGTACGTGAGTGAGATGGGTCGTCTTTTAGAATACGAACCTTTTCTCGTTTCAACTTCAAATTCAGAAGTTCCAAACTTATGCAAGGAATAAAGTATGCAAACTTCGATTCTTTGGTAGCCGGCTTCAAGATTGCATGGATCTGCAAGATACTTGAATGTCAAATCCAACGAACTTCCAATCGTTCTTAAATATTAGTAGCCGAAGTGCTATTTCTCTTGTTGATGTTGAGTGAGAAACTGAAGATTAGATCTAAAAAAAAAGTCGGCCGTGCCGTCAGGAAGAAATTACAACATGGAACACGGGCCGTAAAGGTGGCAGTATTAATCTGGTGAACGGGGGGCGTCACGTGGAGTTACAGCAGCTTGTACCGCGCCGAGACAATCCAAATTTTGATGCGGTTTACGTCGAACTCTGTGCTTCATACTGTATGAAGCAGCTTGTGGCTAATTAAATTTCCTATTTCTGAGGCTAGATGGTTTTGCCGTACATATATTCCCTATCGTACCAGTTCTAGATTTCACCTCTTTCATGTTGGATGAGATGTGAAGCACATCAATCTAATTGAATCCTTAGAGATTCATTATTCCACCTTCTATCTGGTATGTACTAGTTGACTACAGGCTTGAATTGCACTCCCATACAAGAATGGTATATTTGTTACCACTTGAACTCTTTATCATCTTTGTCTCTTCTAAAAATATATGCATGGAATGTGTTGTCCCTTGGTTGAACAAGCAAAGTAACTTCTGCTGTAAATCCTCACTTTTAGGTTGTAAACTACTTATTTTTTACTGCTTTCTACTGTTTAGTGTTTCTATCTCCACTGTAAACTTGGCTTTTTCCGTCCTCCAGACAGAACCGATGTTGTAGCTTATCATCGCAAGTTAGATCCGCCAATGATATGGTCTCGTATCTCATTCAAAAATTTGCATATCTTCTCATGCTGCACATTGAGATACTTGACTGCCACAAGTCCATGCGTGGAAAAGAAACAAATAGTCTTTTGAGTCTGTCTACTCATGTAAGCTACGAAGACCTCCTGTGGATGGAAATTTAAAAGGTGCAGCTCCTGAGATCTATTCTTAGACAAGGTAGTCTAGGCTGTTACATCGAAAGTGATGCAGCTGACTTTTCGCTATCTCCTTCGGTTTTCCGACTACGCGACGATTAGCAGTGTGGCGTTGCCCATAAAGTATAAAGGGCACTAGACACATTGATTCTTCACTTGACTGCTACTTGGCGAAAAGTATTTCGAAATCTGAAATTTATTGCCGACACAAGTGGTCCTGGAATAACTTACGCAGGGTGTTTCACAATGTGTCATTCTAAGATATTTTAAACTGAATTTCGGAAACGAGCGTAGAAATTCGTTGATATCTAATTTCACTCAATTCTGAAGACAATATGTCTGTGTTCCAATTCTTACTACTGTTTAAATCCAGAAAGTCGACATCTGGCTTCTTTATCCTACAATTACCACCCAGCCATCCATTCTACAACTCTAGCTGTGCAAATTCAAAACTCAGAAGCCATCCACAAAGTTTTGTTGGGATAAAAGGGAATGGGAGATAAATTAGCTCATCATCGATCAAATGATCTCCTACTCAGTTCTCCATCACGTATCGCAGGCAATTTATTGCATATCCTTCATCTCAACATCTTCTTCCTGGTTATCTAGTTGCCCATGCACCCCAGTTTCATTATCTGAACCATCTCCTATTCCAATTGGGTTGCTCTCACTGCCCAACTGGTCCTCTTGACTCCTATGACTGGAAGAACGATCATCGTTCTCTTTTCCGCTCCTCCGTTTCTCCCAGGCTAGCCCGCGTCTTGCACCTCCATGACCTCCCTTCCTTTTATACGGTGTGGTTCGTTTTTGAGGAGTATAGACATCATTTTCGCTACCAATGATCGGCTCTGGCTGCTGCTCTACATATTGACGCTCCTTTATTCTACCAATCGGCGATGATCCTTCATTCTCCCCACGTTTATTATGATCAGCCAGTTCTTTAGTTAAAGCATTACTTGGATTTTGACTCCCAGTAGAATCAGTATGTCGGGAGTTAAATTGGAGGGATGGAACGATTTCGTTTGTTCCAATCCCACTATTCTCACCTCTCTTCAGAGAATTTCTTGTTAGACGAACTGACGTTTGCTTTTTCTTTCCTGATTTGGTAGCACTAACTGCGTTGTGATCTCTTAGACTGTTCACCATTCGAGTTCCAGGGGTGTTCTTAGGCTTGCCTGGTTCAATGAGTGAGTAAATTAGACAGGTTCCGGTGGATGAACAACCAATTTGTACTTACCAGACTGCTTTTCACTATTGTTAATTCCATTAGTGCCCGGCTTATTTACAGGCGTAAATTCAATTCGACTCTCCTGATTGTCAAAGTCCTGTATTTCAGTTGAAACACTTCTCATAAGAGATTGCACGGCATCACTTTGGTTTCTTTCTTGCCTTTTATTTGGAGTGGACCCTTCTCTGAGATGGTCAGTAACACTTCTTTTCACTTGTTTGTATGCATCGCTTGGTGTTCGAGGTAACTTTTGATCATCCTCCTTGTCAAAAAGATCTTGACAATATTCAGCGTCAGGCTGTACAAGGCTACGATCTTCCTCGTTTTTCCTTTCTTCATCCTGAGCCTGTAAACAAAACTTTCGCGCACTTTCTACCCCTTTCACAACCAGAAAATCTGCCTTTGTCACATCACAATCTTGGATTAAGCGTTTGATATGAACTTGATATCTTTCTCCACGTTTCCATAGCTTCTGAATGTCGTTCGCAGCTTGTTGCTCAACCCAAGTAAGGCTCAGAGTTGAAGTACCAAGTAAGCTTGACATAGGCCCAGATACGCATATCTTAATTCCTTGTTTCGCAACTTCGTCAATCGGTGGAAGCGTAACAGCTTGTCTGACAACACGGCGGATCGCTTCTGGATCTTTGATATTGATATCATCCAGAAGTTGTACGTATGCTTGGCCTCTGATCATTACAATGCCTCTCATATTGCTGGCTTTTTGCGAATTCTATGTGAAACTCGGCACAAATTCTTCAATTTAAAGAGACTTGACTATGAGTACCGTATATCTTTGACGTCTCGTCAGCTATTCATTCGATGTTATAAACTTGATTTAAGTAGTGCCAAGGATGATAGCTCTTTGCAATGATTCTCTAGGCTCGAGCATTGTGCACGTCGTGGACTATCCGAAAATGGCAGAGGAAGAGAAAACTTACTTGATTCCTAAGAGTAATACAGATATCTTTGATATCGTAGACTATAAAATATTCGGGGACGTGATGCGGTGATAGTCTTATAGTTAACGAGGGACATTCCGTGCAGAAGAACAATGAACGCTGTTGGATAGAAATTCGTGTCTTTATGATTTAATGACTAGCTCATTGTGCTGAAATCGATATAATGGATAACGGACTATAAACTAACAAGTTTTAGAGCAATACACAATTTGTACTAGAAGATACTTCATACTAATCTATCAGAATCAGTAACCCATCCACAGCTACATATATCATGTTCAGACGACTAGTTGGGCGACTTACTCGGTATTGATGTATGATTTGGAGGAAATTCTTTATGAATTATGCTGTGAGTTGTTGAAAAGATTGAAAAATATCAAAGGTAGTCGTGGTAGAGAATGGGGAAGGAGGTAATTGTCCACCACTTCTGCCCTTTCCTCAGCTCTTGGCCCTGCTATTTCTGGTCTCCGGAGCTACACATTGCCCGGAGAACTTTTATAGCCTGTCTATGATTGTCCAACAATTACTCAAAGTCTCGACTCTGCTGTCAATTGCATGATGCACTTGACAGGAGAACATTAGATCACAAGTCGAGGTAGGTCCATGTATATTATACCATTTGAATTGTTCTCTATTCTAAGATTAAATCACATATTTGTGATCATAAAAAATTACGTTGAGTCCTTTATAACATCTATCTTGACTTGAAAATGTGTAACAATCATCACTTTCATGCACCAACAATTTAAGAAGTGCCATATAATTAAAGCAAAAGATCATTTGAAATGCTTCCCAAACAGAAATAATCAACCAATCAAAAGACTTAGTCCAAAGTCCAAAAGACTGACTCAGATGACAGCTCAAGCATCCCAGTGCAGCAAAGTTTGTGAGCAGAAGAATTGTAGTGGAGCAAAACCAGATACATGACTTCTTCAAATCTCAGGAGCTGGCTCGGAAGTGCTGCGCTTTCTGGCGTTAGCTTCAGCAATTTTTTCTCCAGCCGTTTCTTTCATTTGATGATTAATCTTCCAATCAGGTATACGAGGAACAATCGGTCGTGGCTGGGCGAAACTTCGATCGAGAGGGGTTGCTGAAAGATCCGGTTTCTGCGTGGAAGCTATTTGATGCGAGCCAGATTCTGAGTAATTTTCTCTCGTTGCAATAGTGGTGGATGCCACTGGGACAGGTGACATGGAATTAGCCGGTTCGGAAACAGGTACCATGCGAGCAGTCGGCATTTTAACAGGCGTATCACGAGGAGATGCGATGGAACCAAAAGTCACAGGTCGAAATCTAATCGGCGCTGGTGCAGGTACAGTAGGCGCAGGTGCAGTAGGAGCAAGTTTAGTAGGTGCAGACGTAATATTGGGTACAATTGGTCTGGGAGCCGACCATTTCGACTCTTCAGGCAAATGATCATACAATATTGTAGCCTGCTCAGCCAAAAGATCAAGAGCTTGTCGTCTGTCACCAAGTCCTTGACTCGTCTTGAAATTGGTTGAGGAACGGTGCAATTCAGTTGACGGTTTATCATAAACAATCTCTTCGTTGTAAACATTGCGTTTCTTGTATCGACTACGAGGTGGCTCTGCTTTATGTTGAAAGTTGGCCTTCTGGCGAGGTTGAAGTGGCCGAGGCTGGGTAGGAGGATGAAGTGAAGGAGTTGGAGCCAATTCTGGTGATGCTTCGACTATAGAACGATCGGTTTCATATGTAGAAGAGGCAAAAGAGCACTCTTGCTCATCGAAAGACTCTTGAGCAGCTGCCTTATCTCTGATCTGCTTTCCTAATTGACTTTGCCCGCGGCGACTCCTTGCTGGTGGATGACCATTTTTCTGTGCAAGGGCACTATTTCTCAGCAGTTCCATCACTACAATGGCATCGGGAGCCAGGAAGTAACCCATCTCTTGTCGTAAGACCCAATCATGGCGTCTGGGTATCTGGCGATCCTCACGAAGTGGTACAGAGATACAAACAGCTTCTCGGGGATTCTGGGCGCTACTTTTGCAACGATATCGCCGGGGAGCACCGGGTATTCCTTTATCCTGCTCAATATTTTCAATTGAGGAGTTGTAATCGTCAGCGATCTGCGTCCAATCGATATCTTTTTTGGCATTAAGATAATCCCGAACTAATTCGGTGAGAATCTTTTGTTCTTGCACAGTCCAAAAATCGTTGTTGTCATAGACTTTACCAATGTTTCGTCGAATGACTTGATTTCGCCAATTATTAAGTGCATGCAAAGATTTGGCATCATTCCAATTCACTCGAACGCCCTTTGAATCATCCTCGTATTGGAATTCGACATCGCCTTGAATCAGCTTATTTGAACAATCGTCGATTTCTTCGGTCTTGAACCTAACTACAAGTTTAGAGGGGTCTGGTTTGCCAAGAATCGCAGGGCTTCGGTCAATGGTTCCGTCGTCGATGCAGCGCGTGCCTCTTTTACCCTTCGGGGCGTGTCTTTTGTTTAGCTAATGCGTCTTAGTTTAAGATACGGAAAGAGAAGTGAAGAATATGAACTTACTCTGTGTCTCTTCTCCTCCTCAGTTTCACTAGTTAGATCAGGGGCGGGAGCTCTCTTCCATTGTAAATAGCCTGGTGCATGGCCAGGGCTGAACAAAGCTTCTGGATCAATATATTCAGGGTTTGTAGTGGTGGTGAGAGGCTCGTCGACACTTGCATGAGGATTGGCGGCAAGTCTGGGCCTCTTAGTAGCGCTTACTCGCGGTGAGATAGGCATTTCTTGGATATGCTCTGGAAGCTTGTCAGATTCCTGAGGCTTCGGGGTGTTGTTGTGAGAAGACATCGCGAAAGGTCCTGTTGGCATGCACTTGTTAGAATACCTCTTTCTGTAGTGTTCCCATAGATTTTCACCGAAATGTTTGGAGAAATGAAGTAAGAGAATCCACATCACCATGCAGATGATTTATTTGACTAAAATTAGATAATAGGATGAAAGAACTATGGCTCAAGCTTTTCTTTTAAATCTTCTCCCAATGTCATGAAAGAAGTAATATGAGAGTGGATCGAAAGACTCACCGGTATAAAAGAGGAAAACACTAATTGCACTTCTCCATAGGATCAAACATCTGTCATCCTTCAGGATACTTCTTGGGAAACTAATTAGTCAAGCTCTGTTAGATAAATTTTCACTGATGACAAGAAAGAAATTGGCATGAATCGATGGGGGAATATGTGCGATCAAGTTCAAGTGATAAGGAGGGCTGTTAGAATTCTTGCAGGCGGACTTGCTCTGTGTGATCAACTCCTTGCAAAGTTCTAGAGAAGAGTATTATGGAAAGATTGATAGGATTAGAGATGTAAAATGCTTGAGAAACTGAAGCTATTGTGGAGCAGTTAATGGTGAAGTCTTTTGTGTTGCGGTGTTGCGATAGATACGTGCTACCGTCCGCTTTCGCTGCAACTGCTGGCAGAAGAGAGCTTCATCAGATCGCTCCTCAGCTTTGTGTGTAGTATAGTGGTGAGAAAACTTGAGAAGCTTTGTAGTTGTGGAAAACAAGATGAACGTATATGATAGACAAGATGGTGAGTTAACACAGGAAGAAGAGAATGTCAACATACTTATCTTGAATCACTTTCGCATAAGTCTCGATGTTGATGTTGTTGGGGCAGCAATATTACATCCTGGTGAGTCCGAGTTAGTTGTTTTCTGTTTATTTTTATGATAAACTGGGCATACTTCAGCAAATTAGATCGTTCCAATCATTGTTAAAGTAGTAACGAGTTCATTTGCTCTCATCTAAGACATAATCAGACATGTTTGAGATGAGAGATATTAAGTTGAATGGGAGTAGCCTTGTGCTTATACAAGGCCATATGTTGTGACCATAAACTTTACTTGATATCAAATGGAAATCCTTGCGGATATTTCTTGATAAAAAAACAGTAAGTTGGTAGCTTTTCATATGATTCAAATTTCAAATTTCAAATTTCATCCCTCGAGTCAATCTCCTATTCTTCATCTCAAGTTCACAAGACTGCAGCCGAACTCACGACTCTTTGACATGACCTTATATAAACATTATCAGCCTGATTTCACTCTTTATTGCTTGATCTATAGTCTATTTAGTAGTTGGGAACAAATGTTGAAGTGATGAGGAAACCACCAGTAACATATCTGTTTCTATAACGAAACAATAGGAAACTTGTGATGTGATGCTTCTGAAAACTCTATTCACTTCACTCATAATCAGCTCTTTTTTATGAATACACAGGTTAATGATATGGTGAGCCAGACTTTGTGTTGTTTCTTAGAGTCTAGAAGAATGCTGAATGTGGGACCAAATTTTTAGAATGTGATTATTCATTCCCGAGTAGTTACATGATTAAATTGATACCTATCTGTTAAAAGGAAGTCGTAGATGAAGACTAATGGGTATATATCACGAGCAGATTCTAATATTAACCAGACTATCTCACTTTTAAGGATATCTTCGCGTTAAGTTAAGCCCATCATAAATTTTAAGCTTGAGCAGGGTTGAAAAGTCCAAAAAGATATAGCTACTGACTCTGATTTCTCATGATGCTATCATTTCAATGGGATGGTTCCTGTTACATTATTATTATTTTGTAAAGAAGAGAAAAGCGCCTCCAGTCACTTATCTGGTTATGAGTGGCAGAGCCACAAGAGACTTTAGAGATTGTGTTTGTCCCAAGACTCACCATCAGCATTAGACAGTAGTCAAACCACATTGAACATTTTATTGAGAAAAGGAATTCTTTAGCTTCTAGTTTTACACTATCCATTCACACAAATAGAATGAGGGATGAGAGGTATGAGTGAATCGTGACTCCCACAATGTAATTAGATGTCGATTGGATCCCCAGTCTAGTTTGTATCATTATTGACACATGGATATATGCTATCTTTTGTTTGTGACCTAAACTCGTGGTATGATTGTATGCACAGTATCCTTGAGTCATTTTATGTTGTTTGCCAAAACAATTTTATATATTACTCAGAATCATTCAATGAGCATGAGTATTTAATTTCAAATATATTCCCTTCCTGTGGCCAATTCAATGCTCCTCACCCGTTATCTCATTGCAGACCCCCCGGAGAGTTTTTTCTCAGACATTGAGAAGTGTATCAACTTCACTTTGATCAAGCAGTGCCGTCTTTCTTGTTTCTAACTATCGAATGAGCCTTCATGCTATCTTCTACACGCTTGCTTAAAAGCTCATTAGACTACATCCCAATTCTCGAGTTGAAAGTAAACTAATCACTATCTAATTGCCTATCAAGCGCAGCCACTACTCCCACACCAATCTTCCCAAAGAATTGTAGGTGATGGTAAATTGCAATTCCTTTCATCCTTCAATCTTTTGTGGCGCATCTAGTCCTGTGGCATAACAGGCTATTTTGATTCCTTGGTCTCATTCATGTGAGGAGATTCCGAAGCTAACATAGAAGACTCATCTCCTCTTTGCCACGCCAGATAAGTCATTGTTCTTCCTCCTTTGCAGATCTAGAGTGTTCTCTGCTCTAGGTGATATATACCAGCTATTGCTCTTTGTATGATTCCTCGACATGTCTTGTATTCATTGAAGTAGTTCGGATCTCGCTTTGCATTTTAGGGGGAATTCGAACGGTCGAGTTAATTTCGAGACAAAAGGGGTTCAGTGATAATCCGAGGTCAGATGTCTGTTCTAAAGTGCAAAGGTTAGCATACTTTGTGCTATATGTAAGATATGCGGTAGAGTAAGAAAGAGAAGGTAGCCGGAAATACTTCTAGATGGCGTTGCTCAACGACAAGCTGCTAATTCGATCAACAAACATCTTTATTGTTTCATTATGGACTGGAAGATGGAACTATAGAGATGGGGAATCTGAAATGCCATTAAATTATGAGTCTCAAGCCTGCAGGTGTATTCCAATCGCAAAGAGCATATGGAAGGGTTGATTGCGCACCAGATCATGTCAAAATAGAATCATTCCGCTCTATCGCTTCATTTGAAGACTTTCAAGAACAAGAACAATGTCGTGGATTTCTAACAGTTAGAGATTTCGCAAGTAGTTTATTACTTCTCAAATGGTGTCCAAGTTAGGTATTTGACACGTGAAAGAAGTCGCATCTGTATCTAAACATTTTAATGAATCTTGAAGATCGTTTATTCCTGAATTTGCCATTGAAAGCAACTAATTGATATCTTTGTCTAATGAAGATTACAAAACTGTCATTTAATTACTAAGAACCCTATGAGGCTTGAGATTGTAATGGAACGGTCACCTGTGAGTGGCTAGTTGATTATTGAAATGTGGGTTTATATACAGCTACTATCAATACACACTCACTGTACTCCATCAGTAATGCGGGGGACAGGTACCAGGCACCCGGGTTTCATCGTAAGGGTTTCCATTATATATATACTGCGACGCTATAGGCTCGATCGGCGATGCTACGGGACCTTCATTGAATTAACGCTATTTTTCAAGCTCCATGGAACAAAATTCATCAAGGCGTTACCCAGTTAGATTGATATCAATCTTCAAACTCATATACAATACATCAAGCGAGGCTTAGTACATACGGTACTTGATACCTCAAATTAGTTCTTAAGTACTTGATCTTTCTACCGGAATTTGCTCCTCTTCTTTTTCATTACAGAGAAGTCCTCGATAATTATAACAATTCTTACTGAGAAACATCGAACTTCTATAAAAACAAATCTAGTACAACATCATCTTTTTAAATCACCCTCTCTTGAGTAGACCTCGCACGTTATCTTTCTATCACATATACAGAAACTTCATTTGAATTTATCAATTACATTAGTCATTCTAAGAATTTAAAATCAATCTATCACAATGGCTCCTCCTCATACTTCAGGAACCAAGGATGACCAGGATAAGTCATCAAATAGAAAAGGCGCTAGCATTAGAAACAAGGATGCTAGCAGGGTAAACAAGCCTTCGGTACGTAAGACAAGAGCATCAGGTCAAATGGTATGGTTTCTCAAAACAATGAATTGAAGGAAGAAGACTATGAACTGAGGCTAATTACCGCTTCTAGGCATCTGGATCAAAAAACTCAAAGTCGAACACAACTCCTGCCCCACGTGCCAAGTCATCGAGACTTTCCGAAGGTCCTGCGTCTGAGATATCACAAGACGATAACGTCCAAGGTGAGTCTTCTACGCGAACCTTAATTCCACGTGCTGCTACGCGACAGCTCATCCCACCCCCCGTCCACTCAAACGAAGGGAATTACGTCGAATCTCCTCAGCTGACCAGATTCTCTGAAGATTCACCAGTAGCTCAAAATCTTCGCATGAGAGAGTGGGACCTCGACGGTGGACGCAACTTGACACCCACAGAGCAACGACAACACAAGGTTTACAAAGCCGATCGTGCCAGAACATTGAGGGACGAAAAAATTAGTGGGCGTCGGACAGCTGTTCATACACAGCCAGAGCCAATCCACAATACTCTGCACGCCATCCAAGCTAGGAGACAAAAGAGACCCGGCCCACAACCACTGTCTGCAGCCATTATGACTTCTTTGGCTGCTGAAAAAGCCAAATTCAAGGAAGAAGAATTGGCGGCCAAGCGTGACTACATAAAGAAACACAGTGGTGGGGGTTGGGGCATTGAAGACTATGAGGAAGTAAGTCTTCGTGGTGGACGTCCTGAAAAGGGTGCTTTAACCCCCACCAGCAGCCCAGTCTTGTCTTCTCAGTCTAGAACTGATTCTGAATCAACCGTATCTGGTGATTCTCCCATCGAAGCCACGGGGCCTGTTGAGGCCGCACATTCCCGTTTGGCTTCTCAGCCTCCATCGGAACATGGTGATGCACCTGTCGACTCCGACGACTCAGTCATGAGTGCTGCTGCCGAGTCGGTCACGTCACCAAGGTCCCATTTACTCCCGACAGCGGGAAGCTTGGGAAATGGTAAAGGAAAGGTGAGTCTATCGTCTATTATATTTATGATGAAGACCTGGCATGCTAATAATTTTTTCTTACAGGCTGTGGCTATAGATGAAGACGAAGAGTCTTCTGAAGAGTCAACTGAGGATCCTACTAGCGATGATAACATCGCAGATCGTTATCGAAGTGCGACCCACACCTATGGTCAACCTAATATGGCTTCGAGCAGTCATGGGCCCATCGAAAGAGAAGCCAAGAAGATGCCTCCGGGTCATGTTGCCATCGGCGAAGAAACTCACAGCCGAGATCAGATTCTGGTTGGGGCTCCACAGCCAGAAGCTTTAATCATCACGATCCGAACCGAAAAGCGCGATGAACATGATGTGGTAACTGCTCGAGCTTTGGTTACCCATAAATATACAAAAGGAATAAACTGGTCCGACGCAAGAGACGTGAAGTTTCTCAACAAGTGGCGAAGCCAGATTCTAGTTCGAGCCTTTAAGGCAAAGCATGAACGAAGATGGAAATACACCCTCAGTGAGATGAACGCTTTGTGCCACTTCCTTGAAATCCAGCTCGCTGCACCTGGAGTGGATGGTCTAATGACCAATGTTGATTGGGCAGAGGTCACAACCAACTACAACAATCACTTTCAGGGAAAGAGACAATATGCTGGCGAATTGTATGCCAGCGCTTCTTACACTGGTGATGATGGTAGAAAGACATCTGCCGCCGGTCAACCAATGAAGGCTGATCGTGATGCCCCATTTCGATCTGAGATAGCTTTGAAGAATCAAATCTATCACTTCAGAGACCAACGAGCAGTCGACCTTGTCAGAAACTCGAAAGGTGCAAGACCGTCGGATGGACCTCGGAAGCCCGCGGGTGATGAACCACAGGATGATACTGAGAATATTCCCTCAGTCTTGCCTAGTGAAAGGTCTTCCCCCAGTTCCAAGGGATCGCTCAAAAAGCTGATCTTTAAGTTTGGGAACGGTAGCAAGGTGACTCTCGAGAACAAGAAGAGAGCCAACACTGAAGACGGTACAGATGAAGAGATGTGCCCACCGAACAAGAAGACAAAGGTGAGTGGGCCTTCTCATCTCCGTGGGGGCAGCGGTGACATCTGGGAAGGCTCCGAATCGAACTTCGACTACAGCGAAGATAGTGCACCACCGACTCACTACCATGATCGCGAGCTACGTTCTGATTCTCCCTTTCGACAAGGCTTCCCTTCTCGAACTGCACGAGCCTTTTCCGATGCTCAACGTGTCTTGGGCCAAGGCAGGGCAGCACATGGTGTCAATAACCAACCCATGATCGCTCAGTCTACCTCTGGATCTAGAAGCCAGCAGTGCTCGAGAGAAATTGAGGAGAACTATGATGATGATAGTGACGATGAAGGCACATCATCCTCATATAAGGTCAATGTGAATCCATGCCTTCCTCAAGAGGTTCAATTTCCGCCTGTATATTCACAGGCTCGCCACCCACTTCCCGCAGTTCGACATCCCCTCGTAGATGCACAGGGTATTCGTCGTCGATCCAGACATCGGCGTCCACTCAATGTTGACGCACCACAGCGTCACCTCCTTCCCAATGGAGCATTTTTGCCGGCTCAACATGGCTTGCCACAGATAGCTCCAACTTCAAACAGCAAGAAGAGAGTAAGGGATGATGGCACTGCCGGTATAGGCAACAACAACCAACAAGTCCCATCGAAGAGACCAAGACTGCACGATCAAGATCAAGATCAAGAAGACGATCAAGACGAATATGAAGATCAAGATGAGCATCGAGACCAACACAGCGATCAACAAGAACCAATTGCAGAAGGTCCGAACCAGATTTTCTTCGCTCCATTCCCACACAATTCTAGTGTGGCCAATCGGGAAGCTGCTCTTCGATTACGATTGCGAGCTTCAGTGAGAGGACCACAAGTAGTCACCAGGACACTCAGGCAAACCGGGCCTCGCCTTCCAACTCTGGATGATTATTTCGCTGAAGAGTGATAATTTCTTGTGAAAGGAAGGGGGACATTCCACTTTCCAATTTTGTGGAGCATATCTGTTGGGCTGCCGTCTGAGGTAGTGCTTGTAAGAGGGAGTTCTGGTAATAGGTTGGATTTTGGCTAATGCTGTGAACTTGAGTTTCGATATCGGATATGCTACGGATCTGAGAATATCTAGTGTTAACTATGGCATCGATTGTTTGCGAGTTGTGAATATTATTCTAACGTGGCGGGCCACCACGTTGGACGCCTTTCCATCTCATGTCAACTTGTAAATTGTAGTTGGGAAGTTGGCTAGGTCCTTCAGCCACCACTAGGCTTCCTCCACCTCTCTGCTGGTGTCAGTTGAGACCATTGGTACTTCAGGAGTGGGTGATATAATTTTGTAAAATATTTCGGAACACGGTCTGTTGTGTACACAGGGAGGGCTTTGAATTACGGTAGCGATTTGGATTTAGGCAGCGTTAGGATTGGTCCTGTAATTGATGGTCAAGAAATGGGTCAAGAGCGTTTAGCATATGCTCACCAGCGTTGAACGATGTTTCGGGCTGTTTTCTTCTGAATTCTCGGTTTGTGGATTTTCTCCTAAGCAATCATAGAAATTGACGTGTAAACAAAGTTTATAGCATGCTCGAGTGTTGCAATCATTAGTGATGACCCCCATTTGTCAAAGTCAAAAATATTGCGAAATATTCCAGATAAGCCTATTGACCTTGTGGAACAATGTTTTCCAAGCCCACAATCAGCAAGATTACTTAAAGAGCTTTAAGGCTAGAATTATTGCTGTTTTTTATTAATCGTTTGGATTAAGCTTACTTCTATAAAAAGCTATAAGACTAGCATCGCCGTCTACTTTGAGTCTCAAATCCACATGCCCCTCTCACTAGAAAGGTAAATCACTTGCTGTAGTTGCTGTCTCATCGACTGTCCACCCATTAAGGCTCTACATTCTCTAGGGATATGAATCTATCTTTGAGCCCTTGATAAATTCTCCCAGAACATTTTCTAGCCTATTTTATTTTGTTCTCAATAATGCAAAATATATTGCTCACCAGAAAACTCGCTCACGAGACTGCTCAAGTGATGTCCTCCCCCTCCCCCTTTTTTGACATTGCGTGCGTGTACTTGAATATGAATTAGCTGGCATCACACAGTGAGAGTCTCTTAGCTAAAGAAAGTAATGCAGTCGCATAACTTAGTCGAGACCGTCTGAAGGTCAGACTTCCCTTACATGCAATTCATGGCTATTGCTAATACTGATAGCAACACTTTTCATTCACGCGCTCGAGACTCCTCGCATTCTGAATGAATAAGCCTGGCGAGTACAGCTTGGTATACTAATACCATTGTTTCCGAAGTTTATGGAACTCATGACCAATTATGGTGACTAACTTGTTAAGTAGTCACGTATTCACGATACTCATAAGATTATCTCTTTAGGTATCATCAACTTCAAGATTAATGTGAGACGGCTTAGGAATTAATCCGCAAACAGAATACAAAGAAGATGGACTACGCTTTAACTGATTGTACACAAAAAATTGAGGTCTGCACATTGTTACGATCCGTCGAATGGACATATGAATGGTCTATGATATCAAGATGAAATTATGACATCCTCTCTCATAGCAAAGACTTCTTCCTAGCAAACGGACATACTCAGGGGCTACTTCTCGCCTCACATATCAATGAAAGCCTGCCTTCCTTGTTGGATCCTTTGCTTCAATCATGTAATTCAATACAATTGATTGTTTTCAGTAGCTGTTCCTTGGTGCGTTCTGATAGTTAAAAGGAGAACAAAGGAAACTTGGCAGGTTACAGTCATGAACTCGAACCCTCGGACTATGGACAATTCCGCCTTCCGCAATGGGTAGTTCGTCTGAACTTAAGCCATCTCCACAATCATCACATAGCTGACGACATACAATTGTTTCACTGATACAGTTGATGGTATATCTTCTTAATATTGTCTCAATATAATCATTCATCCAACGCAGCTTCATCCTTTGCACTTGAACTGCTGCTTTCGATCCGACAGGGTTAGCACGGACCAATAAAACGATAAGAACCTTGAGCATCATCTAGAATCAAACAACACACGACCGAGAAATCCGGTGGTAAGAGTAATACAAACTTCACGAGAACCTCAAAATAGAATGGAAAGACGACTTGTATGACCTGAAAGCTCCACTTCAGTGTGATACTGAATGTCTCATAGTAGATCACGACAAAATGTCCGCCGAATTCTCATCTTCTAATCCTTTCAGAAGAAAAGGACCCTTCGCACCTTCGACTACATCATCCTCTCCAATACCTGCTGTCAATCATTTCACGCAATTGGATCCATCTGCGAATTCGATTCCCGAATATTCATATCCAGAACGACAAGATGTGCCAAAGAAAATACCCAAAAGAGTTCGGGTCCAGTCTCCACCACCTCCATCTCCCTCGATCCCGGACTCTACATCTACCATAGGGGACGACTCGGTACCTTTCGAAAACCCACTACAAATATCTCAGGAGGACGAGCAGGACCCTTTTGACACCATTACATCTGATATTTCAGAGGATGAGGAAGAGAATAAAACTTCGAAGACTCGCATCCTGAATCCCTTTTCAAAGACATTGGAGACGTTGGAGAATTCAGGCCGAGATGCATCAAGCATAGCACCTGCGAAACTCACAAATCCCGGAAGAGCTTCTATGGATGTGGATGCATTCAAAAGGCTATTGATGACCGGAAATGCGGGGTTGGGATCTTCTACCCCGCTGCAACCCCCTCCTGTTCATGCATTACGCGACGAGGGAAGTAGTAGTACAGAAACATCTTCTCTATCACGGCAATCGATATTCGAACCAATACAAGATCCGCATCCAGAATCACCAAGATCATCACATGAGATATCAGAGCCGGATGAAGTACGAAGGGCAGTGTCTGACTCTTCATCATTACATGTGAAGAAGAGACCACCTCCACCGAGTTCGAGACATCATGGCAAATTGATTAAGATGGAATTGAAGGATGAGACTACAGCTGTTTCTCCCTTGTCTCCACCACAGTCAATATCTGCAGCCCCTCAATACTTTCCTGTTATGACTTCAACGCCGAATCGCTCCTTGACAGATCTCAACAAACCCTTACCTCCAGCACCACCTCGTGAAAGCGGTGAATCCGAACGAGAATCTCCGTTTGATAGAGAGTCTGCGGGGAAAGCACCAGAACCGCCATCTCCGTCTTCATCAATAAGAAGAAAGGCAGCTCCTCCACCTCCCGTTACTCGAAGACACAGCCAGCTCCTCAGCGACTCAAAACTGAGTCGAAGTAGTTCCGCAAGACTTTCACCAAGATTGGAAGAAGACAATACATCGGTACACTCAATCGAATCTGGACGACCTCGATCTAACAGTGGGAAAGCTCCACCTCCGCCTCCTATACGAAAACATGGTATTTCTCGATCCCAATCGCAGCACGCACCTTCCTCGCCATCTGTGACGTCCTTACCTGTACCGCCACCAACCCGAGGCTCCTCAAAACACGGTAGAGCACCATCTGTACACAGCATTGAACCTCCAAGTCCTCATATTTCCAAACGCACCTCTTTACAAGCACCACCACCACCACCACGTCCTCGTCAAGTACGGAACAGTCTTGATGTATCTCAAATCACACCTTCCTCTTCAACTCGTGTCAGTGGCGAATATCGGCGAAGTTCTAACGCTTCTTCCATGTCACAAACTTCACGATATGAAGAAAATAACACCGTCAACTCTACTAGTGGTCATACCAATATCCTAGCAGACCTCAGTGCATTACAACAAGAAATTGATGCGCTAAGGAATCAGTCACAGCAACGGCAGCGAAGTGTCACTTGAAAGATATGCTTTGGGTAAAATGATTCTCCTCCTGAAGTTTAGGCAGGCAACCTTGGGTCAACAATATCTGTTATTGAATCTCGTAGTCATTACAAATTATAGTCTACATTGGCACATGGAAGGAGCATCAGAGCCCTGTAATTGCGAGTGCGGTTGCAGCGCCTTTGGGCAAATATTTGGAATCTGAATGGTTACATATCGAAGCAAGAGAAAGCCGGTTCAGAAACTTGGAATTCCTTGGAACTTGCAACAACAATTCCATGTTTTTCATGTCTAGTTTCAGAGCGGTATGGGAGATTTAAAGTTAGGCATGATAAATGAATATCGCACACTCGGACCTCCTGACTCAAGGTTGGGTTTCTGAGTCTGGACTTTCGACCTTTTGGGAAGATGGCATTTGATTTCTCCATTCTTGGAGCTATCGAAACAAAACAATAAGACGATGGGTACGATACGAGGGGCGAGAACTCGAAGAATCTAGGTTGTGGACACAGTTACTACTTGCAGCAGTTGCGAAATGCCGAGTGAATTATTGATGGCTATTGGAGATTTATTGTTACAGTGAAAGGGATTGCTCGAAGGATAGTCCATGTTCCAATTATCTTTCCACGAAGCTATCTAAAGCTTCGAGAGGATATCGTGAAGCGAGCAAGAAGCACAGAACCTCGAATAACCCTGAAAAAAGCTGAGTAGGTTTCTTGATCGATCGGATCGACCGTGTGACGGGCGGGAATTTATTGTTTCGTGCAGGCGGTGGATTTGGGTGGAGGTTGGTAAAGTGGATTGGGACTGGATCGTGCGAAGAGCATTGATGGGATATCGTAAGTTTGGAGCCACGGAGTGACTAATGGGGCGGGAGAGGGGCGGTGAGTGAGGGGTACGGAGTTTCTTCGGGTATGGGTTTGAAGGCTGGTTGAAGGATTGAGAGTTCTGGGATGGTGCTTGAAGACTTTTCAGGCTGAAAAAAGATGGGTGGAGTTGAGAAGATACTGGAACTAAAAGTACATGCATGTGTACCTACCTACTTTGTGCAATGGTGATCTTTGTTGGGACTTTGGGGGGCATTCAAGATGCTTCGATTAGAAGGATCATGCTGGACAAAGTGCACCTTGAATAAATGGAAAAAAA